TATATGTCTTAAATAAGAGTGTTTATAGCACTCCTTCGATTTTCATCTTCTCATTTGTCTTAAAATGATTTCAATTTCAATTGCATAATTCCCATAAAAAATCAATCGTGTAACTATGAAAAAAAGTGTCAATCTTCTAAAAAAATATTTATAATTTGCTTGTATTTCCAGTATTTCTTAAACTTACTCGAAATAATTTAGAAAATTCATCTAATGTATGAGTAAAAATGGATGTAGTACTTATAATTCTACACAATATGATGATATCAGGTAAATGTCATCATTAGAATTTCAAAGTTGGTGATTAGAGTTTATTTTTAAACTAAAGTGCATCAACTAATGACCAAAATCAACCGTGTAACATATATAAATCCAGTCTCAAATATATAGTCTCAAATATATATGGTGAAGACTAGTGTACGCCATGTTTTCTTATTTAAATCATGAATTAACTGAACTTTGGATATGATACTATATCCTAATTTCTAATGGGTGAACCCTCAATCTCTAATTCTCTAACCTAAATCTTAAGATTTTTTTTGTTAAGGTTAATTTAATCTTAAAATAAAAATTAACAATTCTCATATGTCAAAATTATCAATGCACAAATAATAGATATGAACACAAGTGTATAGCGTATGCCAGGTTTACGCTAGCCTTTTGCAATATATATGGTATATAAAATTGTCCTAGACCCAAGGTATGCGGTGTCACTACCGTTGAAGGCCTTCTCGTCCGACATCACTAGTAGGGATGACAACAAAACCCGAACCCACGGGTATCCTACCCGACCCAACCCGTATTGACGGGGTTTGGGCCGGGTTTGGGTTTAAACTAGTTCACTATTCGTCGGGTTGAGGTATTCCCGGCCCATGGATACCCGCCCACACCCATATAATTAATTTTCCCAGTATATTTGATATTCTAAGCAACTAATCTTCTTTATGTTTGTGGAGACATGTCTAATTTTTTCTTTATAATTGTGTAGAATGAAGTTGATATTATCGAGTGGAGAGTGAAGAAGCTTAATTGACAAGGAGCAAGAAGTTTTCAATTAATCAAGTTGTTTACTGATAATTTGTGATTTGCTTCAATTTTCTTGAGTAATCTAGATTGGTGTTGAACAATTTGTATGGTTAATTTGTGATTTGCTTGAATTTTCTAGAATGGTGTTTTACATATGGAAGATTTGTATTGAGAGATTGATATTTGAATTTTATTTTGATAGAAACTTGTTATTGTAATTTTTACGACAAAAACCCATGGGTACCCATGAACCGACGGATACCCAGCGGATTGGGTTGGGTTTGAGTTTTCCAAATCCAATGGATTTTACCCCGATTTTTTTCTACGGATAAACCCATGAGTTTGACAAAACCCGACCCAACCCGACCCATTGCCATCCTTAACACTAATCACTAGTGTTGCGGTCGTTCCCGTCCTCGGACCCCTGATATCTCATCAGCGGCGTTGAAGGTGATTTTCGTGTCCATATTTTAGGGTTTCTCTTAAATGTCCATATTTCGTATTTTTAGGGTTTCCAGTGCGTTGTATGGGTCTAGGTTTCGTCTGTTGCATGGGTGTAGGGTTTCTCCTAAATGCCATTTGTTAGTTTTCTAATAGGTGCTTAGGTTTTTATTTATTTATACATTTTAATATCAATTTAAGGTTGAATGATTTATAATCTTGTGATGGTCAATATTTTACCCGATATGTTCACTTATCGTTTCTTCAGAGGTTATTGAAATTTCACCAATGTAGTCAAATATGCTTTTCTACGCAGAAGTGGAAACATGAGTAAAAACATAAAACGTAACGTAAAAACGTAAGTTTTTGTGTATAATATGATTAATCTTCAACAAACTACCTGCCTCATGTAGAAAGGTCACTACTCATGCAGATAATCTAACTTGGCAAACTTTTAATAGTTGAGCAAACATACATCTAAACCAACAATGCAGTAAGGAAATAACGAGGCTTCTTCATTCATAAAAAGTATAACCAATTAACAACTACACTTCATTATCGGTCATTTTGTTTCAATCTGGATGTCAAATTACAAAGGATTACTGCGGTTTCTTTTATTATAAGGTTTTTCATCCATTGAACACGAAAAAGCAGATTATTAGTAAATATTAATCACTTAAGTTGCACATTAAACAATAAAGTAATCACTTGATGAAGCTGTTATGTAACATCTCCATCCCTCTTGAACATTTCATATGTAATGCACACATCAAGGTGACGTCATCACAATATTTGATCGATTTTTAAATATGAAGCAATCGTTCAATTAATTAACTACGACACGAGAAATGTATTTGATTAATTGGGTTATGGTTAACCTCATTTTAAATATAAAAAATATGAAGTGAATTGAAAATTGAAGGGCTTAATTGTAACTAATGGGAAGTTGATTGGTTTAAGTGACAACCAAGTTTTTGTTTTGGAGTCTAGTAGTGAGTTCAAGAAGGGACTACAATACAACCCGTCAACCTTCGTTGGATCATCCTCAAATATGGATGACACGTTCCATACCTTCTCGGATCCAATCCAACCGTTGGGATCGTTGTTATGATTTTTGGTTCGTCAATAAATATTGCTGGTCAGACAGGGTGCAACACTGTTTTCCTATAGTTGGGCAGTTGGTTCTAGCCTTCCAGAGAGGATTCTAGAGAAACAAACCTTTAGATCGTCCTCAAAATTTGAGGACAGATTTAAGACTCCCCGTAGGTTGATTTGACTATAGGGATCGATATCCTAATATCTGATTTGGTGGGGGGGAAAGGGTGTGAAATTGGTTGGAATTCCTTCAACTAGAAATGTATAAAAACGGATCAAAAACATGTTTTTAACTGTTTTTACCATTTTTTGATCGGTTTTTAACCGTTTTTTCATACAACACGTTTCTATGTAGAAACGGAAGCATTTTACCTAGTAAAAAACGTAAAAACTTGTGTTTTTGCGTTTTAAGACGCGTTTTGACTACATTGTATTTCACTGTTACATTATTAATCAGTAACGAGGTTGTTATTAAGTTTTTTTTTGCCTCATTAGTAATATTCTACACAACTCGTTGCCATTGTCAATCTTTTTTTTGGCAGTCGAAGTTGGTTTACTGATAAACAAATAAGAAAATTATGACGTAGTGTTTTTAAAATTTTATAACTGCAATGGTCAAAGTCTTTATATTTGACACAGTTTGTTCTATATTTGTACCTTTATCATCCCGCATTATAAACCATACAAAAAATGTCATACATTATCAACAATTTTATGTTATGTTTGTGACTTTGTGAAATGGCATTATGAATGTTTAGGTTTAGGTTATTAATATTTTCTGTTTGTATTGTTCGTGTTCAATTGTGGGTTATTAATATATTTATATGCAATTTGTAATTTTTGCTAGTGGTGCACAATATGCCACGTACAAAGAGTACTGTGCTTAAGACTGCAACGGTTAGTAAGACGATGGAGACGAAGAAGGCAGTTGCACCCAAAGTTGATGACAATCGCTTACAACTAAGGTGCAGTATGTCTTCAACTTTATCATGAGTCCTTATCAATAAAGTTTGATTAATTAGTAATTGTGAGTAGTTGTCTTTGTAACATTTTCTTATGTTAGTCTATGGTGATCCGGATGCCTAGTGGGGAACGTTTGTACCTCACTAAGGATGATGTCGATCGTGTTTATGGCTTGCTAGAGGGTATCAATATCATTGATCTATCCATCTTCGACTAACGTAGTACAAAGGAGTGGGCCTTGGCTCTTGGCATATCCATAGTTGGCCCTAATATGATCGAGCTGATGAATTTGAAGAGTGACATGAAGAAGACAATCGATGATGAATCTTGGGTGCAGATGTGAATTCTGTTGACCATTGGATATGTCTTGGACCCAAATGGCAGTATGAGTGTGATGCATAAGTACCTGGGCTGGGATTCATGAGGGGTAGAGCTGCTGAGGAGATTAGGATCGTGGGCTGCTGAGTCACAGTCACATTGTTAATGTCATGGCCGTGACCATGACTTGAGATGCCTGTCGTGACATAAAAAATGCTCTTGAATCTTTGTGCAGGTCATAGTATGAAGGTTGAATGTCACTACCCAGACCGTGACTTCTAACTTCTGGCCGTGAATTTTGACTCTTGTTCACTTTTGTCCTATTTTCACCTCCAAATGTCCCGAAACTCACTCCTATGCCTTATCCACATACTAGAGCCTGAAATGTGACAAAAAATGTATAACCTAGCATAAATAGGTAAAAAAACCACTAAAACCAAGCTAAACGACCCAAGAAATGAGGATCCAAAATATGTATAATTATGCACGTATCAGGTTTTATGCAACAAACTAAGGGGAGCATTGTATTCAACTATGGTTGAGACATTTCCTTTTTATATATTCGTGTGAGTCTTGTGTAACTTGAAATTCTAGGACAGGTAACCGGCTAAAAAAAAGCAAAGAAGGGGAGAATGTTAGAATTCCCTCTCTACATACGACACCACACATGTAAGCCCAAACGATCAAGAAATGAGGATATCTTATTCTGTTTTCTACATAACAGCCAAGATGGAAAATTGACCAAGTTTAAGTGGAAAAAAAACAACCTTTCAAGCCCTGAACACCTGTGGAACTTGAGTTCTGGGTGATGCTTTCACACCATGTTCTTAGTTGGGTCGGAGAAGGTGCCTTTGGAGAGTGATGCGAAGTTTGTTACTGATCATGTTGACTCGCTGGTGGTTTCAAATGGCAAAGACAAGACGATACTGGTGGTTTTGGATGGCAAAGACAAGACGATATTTGGAGATATTCGTCAAGTACGTGCAATATGTCCGAATTTTGGACTTCACTTTATTGGTAGGTAGGACAATAGAGCGATTAATTTGGTAGCTAAAATGTTATTTCCTTGTGTCCTTTTAGTATAGTAAGGTTTGATTTTTGTCTATAATTGTCCTCGATTTTGTGAACAATGTATCCATATTTTCTTAGTAATTCAATTCAAACGTACGAGTATAAATAAGTGCTCGTTTTCTTTGAGTAAAAGCAGAATAGAGAGGTGTGGTATATTACAGAAAAGTACCCTCATCGCCAAAGAAACTCCAGAGTCATCCCGCTCTTGTCCATTCCGCACCGCATAGACGAGCAGACAGACAGAGCCGAAGAAGTCTCTTTCTTCCCCCCTCTGACACTCATCGGTCCGACTTTTCCCTCCTTGGGGCAACTCGGATATCTCCGCTTCCCGCTGAAGAAGAAGAAGAAGAAGAAGAAGAAGAAGAAGAAGGGTTGCTTCCAAGCAAAAGGGCCAAAAGACCGAACAAGTCCGATGTCTACGTCATCTCCGACTGCTACCCATCTAGTGCTTCTGCTCCTTTCCGTCTTAGGGTTAGGTTTCGGTTCTGGTTACAGCCACGCTCTCAAAGTTCCGTTTAGGGTTAATGATGTTCTCCCGGTGCTTCCGCGTCAAATTGCGTGGCCCGTGTTGAACAATCTCCACGCTGCCGTTGACTTGATGCCGTATTACGTCGGATCGGTCACTCCGGCGAACGGGACGATTCGGTGGAAAGGAGCTTGCTTTTATGACAACGAAGCTCGAATCGACTTCACCCATGGCGATCGCGACGAGCCTGGTTTGGGCGGTGGCGTGCTCTACCTAAAGGTTTTGGTTCCTTCCCTTGCTATAAGGAATATGAATTATCTAAATGGCTGCCTCTGATAATTTCTTGCTGTAATTGGTTAGTGAAGTAGTGGAATACATAAATTTCGAATAGATTCTCTTCAAAAGCGAAGAAATAGGAATATTCAGCTATCCCGTTACAGTGCTGGATCTTGGGTTGATTATTCTGACATTGAATTGTTTTTTCCCCCCAACTAAATAGGACGATGAACTATCCTCGGTTGTGAAGCACATTTTGAAGAGTTAATTTGTTTTGTTTCCTTTTACAGACATCCGCAGCACATAGTTGGACCTGTATGGATTTGTATGTTTTTGCTACGCCGTATAGGGTTACATGGGACTACTACTTTTCTGCCAGAAATCACACACTGAAGTTTGATTCATGGGAGGAACGTGCAGAGATGGAATATGTATGACTTTTTTTATCTTTGTATTGTTTTTGTTTGTGTCAGTGTTATGCTTAGAACTGCTTGGTGGTGATTTTGGGGTTTTGACTTGTTTGCAGGTGAAGCAGCATGGTGTATCTGTGTTTCTAATGCCTGCAGGAATGATGGGAACCATGCTTTCTTTAGTAGATGTTTTGCCGTTGTTCTCGAACACAGCTTGGGGTCAGAGTTCTAATTTGGCTTTTCTACAGAAGCATATGGGTGCCAAGTTCGAGAAACGTCCTCAACCATGGCAAGCGACTATAAACCCCGATGAGGTTCACTCTGGGGACTTTCTTGCTGTTTCAAAGATCCGTGGACGGTGGGGTGGGTTCGAGACTCTAGAGAAATGGGTAACTGGTGCATTTGCTGGTCACACAGCAGTTTGCCTGAAGGATGAGCAAGGCAATCTATGGGTTGGTGAATCAGGCCATGAGAATGAAAAGGTACAATGAACGTCCTTTTTTGTTGGCTCGAACTACAAAGGTGCTCCTTTCCACTGTTAGTCTGTGTTTAATCATTAGAGAAGGTTGTGACTCACTGATCTGATTTTTTCCTGTCATAATATATGCCATGTCTAGGCTAAACCGCATGACTCTAGGGTTATGTATGCAAGATTGAATTAGAGAACTACCTGTGTATTGTTGCTGTTTTCTCATCCCATATTTGATCTTGATTCTCAGGGTGAAGAGGTAATAGCAGTAATTCCATGGGATGAATGGTGGGCATTGTCCTTGAAAGATGATTCCAATCCACAAATTGCTCTGCTTCCCCTGCATCCGGATGTGCGTGCTAGATTTAACAACACTGCAGCTTGGGAATATGTCCGGACCATGGCTGGGAAGCCATATGGTTACCATAACATGATATTTAGTTGGATTGATACAATAGCTGACAATTATCCACCACCTCTTGATGCTCACTTGGTAATAAATCCTCTCCAACATTGTTGTTACTGATTATGTTGAGTCAGGCACCAATTTCTGGATTTTGTCGTTTGCTTTGTGTCTCTCTAGTTCTGCCAAATTCCATTGACTTGCTCCTTGGGCACACAATTCTTATTTTTTTAGAGATGGATGTCCGTTTATCTTCACTTTTGATTGTTGTAAATTATAATGGATTTTCTTAGTCTCAACTCTGGATGTAACTTTTTCCAGGTCATTTCTGTCATGTCTATGTGGACTCGTGTGCAGCCAGCATATGCTGCAAACATGTGGAATGAAGCCCTAAACAAACGGCTGGAGACTGAGGTGATTGTCTTAATTTCCCACTCCAGTCCGCTAGATTTATCTCTCCTCCTAGATATTCAAGTTGGTTTTCGTTCCTTTCAGGATTTGGACTTGTATGGAATTCTTGCTGAGGTGGAAAAGCGCGGCATGTCCTTTGATGAGTTACTCACGCAACCAGAGCAAGATGAATGGGTATATAGTGACGGGAAATCCACAACCTGTGTTGCTTTCATTCTCCAAATGTATAAGGAAGCTGGATTATTTGATCCCATTGCCAGCTCCATCCAAGTGACTGAATTCACTGTAAGTCCCTCCCGATTACTTCTCGATTTGGGTTTGCTATATCATCACCTGTGGCTTTTTTCCTTTAGTTCTTCTTTCACCTTTTGCCTGTAATTACCCGCAGATTCGTGATGCTTACATGCTCAAAATATTCGAGAACAATCAAACCCGCCTTCCTAGCTGGTGCAGTAATCGAGATGGCCGGCTCTCGTTCTGCCAAATCCTCGGTGAGTACTGGATGGAGTTTCCCGAGTACAATAGCATAGAGCCATATGCCAAGATGAACGAAAACTGCCCATCTCTACCTCCCATCTATGACAGGCCTTCTCAGTGTTAAAGCTTTCTAATATATAACACATCCCTTTCTGTGCCTTTCTGCCAACCAGAAAGGTACTACTCGAATACCACGTCTGTAGCACTACTACACCATTTCTCAAACTGTATACATGAACCCATGCTTGTAAGTGTAACTTATGTGTGCTTCTGTACATAAAACCACGCCGATAGTGGGTCTATTAGTTCAAGTTTGGAACTTCTTAGTAGATTATATGTTTGCTATGAATTGTGAATCAGAATAAATGTGGAGCACGCGCCATTCTCTGTTTATACCTTCAATAGCAGCACATTCTATTTAAAGGCAAGCCAGGTTTAGTTTTTTCCCATGCTATTTTTACTGTTACAACTGGGGCAGAGTTCCAGGAGTGGAATTACTGGGAAATATCTTACATGAACAGCCTACATATTAATGATACTGATTCAACTCTGATATGATCTGCCAAGGGTAAATAGAAAAATGAAGAGGAAGCTAAAGTCCAGATTCAGATTTCCCCATCCCAGAGCTCCTCGATGGTCTTGAAAGGGCCTTGGTCTGAGATGTAATCCTGTCCCTGGCACCCTCTGCTTTGGGGGATCTCACTCAGCTTCTTGTTCTCTTCTTCAGAAAATGCCCAACTGAAGATGTCAAGATTCTCCTTCATTCTCTCCTCGTTGAAGCTCTTCACCACAACGCAAACCTCCTGCTCGTATGCCCATCTCAGGCAAACCTGTGGACAAGAAAATGGGTTAACAGTACCTTGTGCCAGATATTATGGCTCCATAAGAAAGAAACTTGTCCTGAATTATCAACTGGAACTTCGTAAAGTGAACTTTGATCACATAGAAGATGGATTACACAGAAGAAAAGGGCACCTGGGCTACAGTTTTCCCTTTGGCACGGGCAATTTCTCCAAGGATTTCATTTTCAAGGACCCTGTTGCTCCCCCAAACGGTTCCTTTGGCTCCCAATGGAGCGTACGCACTCAGAATGATCCCGTTTGACTTGCAGAAATCCCTCAGCTTCTTCTGTTGCCACAGTGGGTTTATCTCTACCTTTCAACGCCATTCCCCCCACCAAAAAGAATAAGCACCACCATTAAACTCCAAAATACAGAGCTTTGTTCTTGTTTTGAATATCGCTCGCTTAAGATCTTGATTGACAGAGGAACTTACTTGATTAACAGCCGGTGGAATCTTGGCAAGGGCAAGGAGATCCGTGAGCTTTTTGCAGGTGAAATTACTGACTCCAATGTTCTTGGTGAGCCCCATATTCTGGCACTCCTCCATTGCTCCCCACACGGCTGCATAGTCCATCGCCATGAAATCTTCCTTCTTGATCGGGAACTCGTACGTTCCCTGGCGCGAGCTCACTGGCCAGTGAATCAGATACAGATCCAGATATTCCAGTTGAAGGTGGCTGTCAAAATTCACATTAAGCAAAGCGTCAATTTACCCACAAATGGAAAGAAAACAGAGGTAAAATGTAAGAAAAAGCAGGGGGAGCAGAGGAATTGTGCGGGGAGTTCAAATAACTGGAGGCTTTTCTGGAGGGCGAGGAGAACGAGATCGGCGTGGGCGTCGCTGCACCAAAGCTTCGAGGTAATGAAGAGCTCGTCGCGGGATTGGATTAAGCCACGAGACAGAGCTTCGGCGATGGCTTCCCCGAGAGGCTCCTCTGTCTGGTACAGGGTTGCTGTGTCGAAGTGGCGGTAACCCAACTCAATTGCTTGGACGACGGCGGACTTGGTGGCGCCGGACCCGATCAGTGGAGAAGTCGCCGTACCCATTCCGAGCAACGGCATCCTCCGGCCGCTGGAGCTCAGTATCACCTCCGGTATGCTGGTCGCCGGATTCGTATCCATCTTCTGTTAGCACTCTGTTTAATTTCTCAAAGTTTGTGATGGAACAAAATTGGCAAACTCCCTTTTTAAGATATCGTCGTCAAGAGAGATAACCCAAAACCCAGATATGTTCGCGTCCCAGCAATTTTGTCAGAACGTCAATGGAACGATCGGCTCTTTGCTTTCCAAACAGAGACAAACCAAATTTGCCCAATTGGGGAAAAAGGTTTGAGTAACTTAACTACGGAGGAATTGGTCAAAGCTTTTTATCTTTTGATTTATTCTAACTTGTGTAGTAAGAAGATGTGGTTGATAGCAGGAAGAGATAAATATGGTGTGTGGAAACAAAGTCACACCCACCCACCACATCCGCCATTTTTTAAGCCTTTTCTTCAGCTCCCATCTTTGCAGGCGGGAAGACACCAGTTGGTCCCTCCTCAACTTTCCCCGCACCTTTTGCATGAGCGCTAAATTGTATTTTCATCAGTATTTTTGTTTTGTTTTGTATAGATTAAAAACAAAAAAAGCTCTATAAAGTAATATAGCGAGTGAAAATTACTAATTTGTATTAGTTATTATTCAATTGATAAAATAATAAGTTATTAATCTAAAGAGATTTTGTATACGGTATATGGTTCACATAAACGACTTTACATTCTTAAAATCATAGTCATATATGGTGTGTTAATTAAATTCGTGTATTAGTATAATTTGTTATATTTTGATATAAATATTATCTTAATCGTCCGTATTTATCAATATTTACTTTTGTTTTGTATACAATGAACATATTTACTTTGAATGCCTTATAAACATTCATTATATCTTCCAAATATTTCAAGTTCATATGATAAATTATCAGATTCTCCATATTCATTGTATCAAAACGCAAAATTTAGAAAGAATCATGGCCGACGTCATTGGGAGTTCGAATGGGGATGAAAGAGATGATGATTCAACACCATTGAAAGCGGTCACACGAAAGAAAGCGCTTAACATCGCAGTGACTTTTTGAAACTACTTGGTGCAATAAGAGAAGACAATACCAAATTTTTTTAGTGCAACTAGTAAAGTTCAAGATTAACTTCTAGTAGACTTGAACTTTAACAAGAAACAAACAACTATTAATTCATAGGTTTCTAGATTATCCTAATTACATTGTAAATTTCTTAATGAATTTTATTTTTTAATTATTAATTTAAAAAATTAAAAATATTTATTTATGTAGATTTGTTATAAATATTATTACTTTTTTACCTTTTCTAATTTGTACACGGGTCCAAATCGAATTCATAAAAATTATTATTTTATATTAGATTATTAATTTATCAAATATTAATTTATAGAGATTTTATTCAATATACAAAGTTATAAATTATAAAATTGGTTTGCAACCATAAATTATCACACGGGGAAGCGCATCCATTTCCATGCCATGATTCAGCCAGAAAATCATGGGAGCACCAAAAGATGGTGGAGTTTCCCTCACAAAGAAAATGGAGGAAACAATATAATATGATATATTGGTGAAACGCATAGGATTAGCTTTGCACAATTTCTTTTTGAATTAGCTTAGCAAGAGTACCAAAATGCGCGGTTGTTAAACCACCAGTACGATGGCTAGTATAATTGTTTTTTTTTTTTTTGACGAATTGATGGCTAGTATAATTGTGTTCAAAGGAAATTGGACAAAAGTCAGCTTGAAGATCATTGGTATGAAGCAATAGTCAGAATCGGTAAAAATTATGATTACTCATTTGTTTGTAATAATGTAATATTTTATTTAAATATGAATCGAAATTGTAGATATTTTGTCTTAAAATAGATTATATGAATGCTCAGTTCATTTGGTGTTAATGATTTCCCACTTTCACATATGTTTTGAAAAAAAGCCAGGGTACATACTAGTTGTATCCCGGTCGAACCATATCACTCGCTAAATCGGTCGAACTTAGTTTCTTCACGAAGTTGCGTGGCTTATGAGATGAAATCCAATCTATTTCAGCCACTCCCGACTGCTATTGTGCGGGATGCAATTCTGACGTCAAGCGCATGTATCGTAAGATCAAGAACAACGAGCAACTCTTTGATTTCTTACGGGTCTTGACGAAGTTTTCTCCACCATCAAAATTTAAAACCCAAGTTCTTGCTATGAGACCTATGCCGAGTCTCACAGAGGCATACCACTTGGTGAACAACAATGAACAACAGCGCAAGATAGCCAATGCTCATCGTCCCATAGTTGAAGCTGTCTTGTTCCATGTCCAGGATGAAAGGAGAAGCCAGTGTGAATGTTTAGGGTTTTCTTGTCTATGGTTAATAGGCCTCGCAATGTCTGTGACCACTGCGGGAAGTCAGGCCACACTAAGTATTAGTGCTTGAATTGATTGGCTGGCCGGAACGTGGTCCTAGTAATGGAGAAAAGTGAATGGGGAAAGGGGTCTGATCTGGAAAAGGAACACCACAAGCAGCTCAGGTTGGGGTTAGCGAGAACCCAATTCCCGGATTAACTACTTTTCAGTTTGAGAGGCTGAAAACATTTTTTTGGAGGTGAGTTGAAGAATGTGTCCTAATCCACCGTCACAAAAATGTTAATTTTGTGTTTGAATTATCTTCCAACGTATTTTCAATTCGCCTCTATGTTGACAACACGAGTGCGATTCGGATTGCCACTAACCCGATTCTCCATGACGTACTAAACATATCGAGGTCCACGTGCATTACATTCGACAATTGGTGACTGATGGGATTATTGACCTTACCGATATCACTTCGGAGGATCAGACGATGGATTTACTACAAAGGCAGGGCAGTGGTTTGTGCTCGTCATTGGTTTCTTGCTCACAAATTGATGTTGCATCAGCACCATCAATCTGAGGGAGGGTGTTAGAAGCTAAAGGTTTTAAGTACCTTTTTGAAATTAGCCGTATGTAAATATTATTCTATTTTGATGTGGATTAGGACAACAGAGTGCGGTTGAGTTATATATTTGTGTGAAAGGGGTTTGGCAAATGTAATATTTTTTTGGTGATTGTGAATAAGAGATCACAACATTCTCCCCTGAAATAGTCTCAATTAACGATCATCATCGTTGGGGAAACCACGTTAATCCGGTGTCTCGTGTTGTTCTATTTTTGGTTTCTTGACAGTTTCACCCCAAAAATAGAATGTGCTTGCAGGGCACATAGTGAGAATAAATGAAGAGGAAGAAGCCATAGTTTTCAATTTTTCTTTGAGGTTTTTTGGTACTTATCCTTCATCCAACATCCCAATCGAAGCACTGGCTTTAATGTCATTGCTGCCAACAATTTTGAGATCAAGGCAGTGTGATCTCTATGATTCAGAGCAACATCCAGTTCCACGGGCTGCAAACTGATGAGCCACAGGAGCACCTCCATCAATTCTTAGTGCTGACAGATAGGATCAAGGAAAATGGCATGCTGCAAGATGCGATCCGGCTGCATCTATTCCCGTTCTCTTTGAGCGGGTGAGCGAATTAGTGGTTCGACAATCAAGCTCCACTCTAATCACTTCATGGAGGGATTTAATGGAGATTACTCATTTCACTTAAGAGGACGATGAGACTCTCTATGATGCTCGGGAGCGGTTTACTAGCATGTTTCTGAAGTGCCCACTCCACGAGTTAATGATTGGTCCCTGGTGTCTACGACAAGATGCTCCAAGAAGATCGTCAAATCATTACATAAGTTTTATATAACACGTCTATTTCAACTGTTATCTATGTAAGAAAAAAATTATCGTTATGCAATCTTTACATAACGTTTTTATATTTAGTGTAACAATTATGAAATGATATCACTGTATAAAGATGATTGTATATGTATTTTATCTATTTTTAATGGCTTCGATTGGTTGAAAAAATCAAGACAACGAAATTTTAAATATCAAGTTGCCGTACGAATTCCCAAACATTTTTCCACGACCAAGTAACTGAATCACCATAGTAAGAAACAGTGAAATTTCATATCAAGAATGAGAGAGACTTGGACAAAACTTTGAGAACAACAAAATATAGTATGGTTTCACCCCAAAAATACAAATTAAATAAAAGAAAAAAAATATGAAGACCATATGAATTGAACGAATGTTTTTTGCAGGCACATCGTGATGAAGAAATGAGGAAGAACAAGCTATATAGCTTTCAATGTTTCTTGGTGGTTTTCTGGTACTTGTCCTTCATCCACAGCATCCCAATCGAAGCACCGGCTCTCACTTTCTTCATCCCAGTGTTGGCGACCTCTTTCGTTTTGTTAAGCCCTTCCTCCACCTTCTTCGAGTACTTTCCTTTCCCGCCGGCGTCTGATCCGTTGCCGCTGAAGCCGCCGCCGCCGCCGCCGCCGTGGTTCTCTTGATTCCTATCCCACTGATCAGCCCACGTATCCCCGTACGAACCCTTTGATCCCATTTGATCACTAACGAAATTTTCCTCAATATATCGGAATGAACGCAGATAAGTTGCGCAGAGTTGCACATTCACAAATTAAGAAGGGGAAGTAGTGAGGATTCTGAATTGTTGGGTTTTTCCCCCAGAGATATAAAGCCTACAGTCTCTAGGCATGTTAATTGGCTTTATTGATGAAGGTTGGTAGGTAGCATTTTAGTTGGACGCAGAAAGCTTCTAAAACCGAGGCTGGTTTGCTGAACATATGGCTATATGTCATTTTCTTGTCGAGTTTGGATGCTGGCAGCCGTCCAGTACATTGTTTCGGAGGACAGGATATATGCTATGCTTAAGCTAGCAATTCGACCCTCAACAGAATTTTGGCGATACTTCTTTTGTTGGCATCATGCCTCCAGGTTAGTTTGGTTCTTGTTCTTGGAGCAGTGCTAAGTGACAGTATATCATCAATTCATCCATTTCGGCCAGGTTTGGTACACAATTCTTTTACCGCCTATATATCTTTGCTAACTTGGTCTTTCTATACTGTCACTGAGTGTCACAAGCCTTGAGGATATATGCTTACATCCCTCTTTGTACTTCATAATATACTCATTTTCTTTACGTTAATAATAAATTAATGTCACCGATGTTTTTATTTTTCATCAATTTTCATTTTGGGAGTTGGAAATTCAATAGGTACTCGTATTCCATGAGGACTAACAGGTATACAAATCAATTTTTTGCATAATGAGCGTGGTCAGAGATGAAAATCAAATCCAACAATTGCCGAAGGATATATAGAACGTCGTAGCTTTCTCTGCCGCAAAATGATCAGCTGCTTCGTTCAAACTTCGACTAACAAGAAGGGGACTATATATAGCCAGACAACTACGCCACAACTGTTTAGGTTCTATCAATACAACAACACCCTTCACTTCCCAATCAATTCGTGCACGTACACATGCACTCGCTAAATAACAATATGTGCATCTCATTGGATCATAACATCCAGCGAACCCCTTCCCTGTCACCATAACACAACATCATGTAACGGTAACAGTTGTATTGTAAGAGGGTCATAGATAGCTTGATAACATCGATCTCCTGCTACCCATATGGGCCCGTGGAATCTCAAAGTACAACTCCCACAACACCATGTGATCCAACATTTTGTCTCCGACGTTGCAAAAGCATTGGTTCACTAGCAGTTGAGCGCACTTCCAAGTACTCCTCCTACACCCGAAAACTCCATTGCTGACCCAACAAAATGATTTGTAACCTGACCCACTCATTCAATATCTGATTAAACTCACCTGTATTTACCGCTAAAATTAAGACTTATTGTTGGGTGGAATGTTTCTTTTGTGGAACCCTACTCTTTTGAGTTTGGTGCTGGTTTTGGTTTACACAACAAATAGATACACAACCCAACCCAAGTTACAAAAACTATTGTCCTGAGTGATTATAACAAAAACACTTGATTGATGGACCTAAGCTAAACTTATATATAAGATTGAACCTTGGGTCATATACAAGCCTATTTGTGAGGAAGTTTAGATATTTTTTTCATATTTGCTCTTATGTTCTCATTAACCTAATGTATTATTCAACTGAAAATTTAGACGTAGATATAATACATGTTATGTTTCACGTTATTTTTTTCTTGTGTACAATTTTAGAAGATAATATATTATGAATTTATTACCTTATAATGAAAAACCTTTTTAGTTTATTTCGGTAAATGTTTATGGAACATACTAGACTGAAGCAAATTACACTTCATCAAGATCCAACACCAACTTCTATACATTTTAATGATTTTCCCTTCAATTTTTTTCTTGAAATTTAATTAGTTATATTATCTTTTCTTTTATGGTACAAAATAGTTGCATTTTTCGTGTGTTGGGTTGGATTTTTAATTAAATGTGTAGTTCACCCCCTAGGCAAGATACCCAAACTCAAGGCAGGGTTAAAAGTTAAAACTCAACCAAACTAAAAAGTTTTGGGTATGACATCTCCTATATCTATAAAATTCACTTGGATTTAGATTTTAAATTCAACATAACTAAGTTGGGTGAGAAAATAATCGCCTCTCTCATTCTTTAAAACTTATTGTACGTCAATATGCATCCAATATATAAACTTGGACATTTGTCTAGACTCTCTTACTTAAGTTTTTCAACCCATTATTGACATGAGCGGTCAAACCAGATCTAATCGGACCTCTACTCTTTATCGCGTGCCACAAACCCAGTTTACTAGAAACTCGAATATGGACAAAGTCGAGGCAATATCGAACAATTTTTCAAACTGACCGAGTTGCAACAAGATGAAAAGTTTAGTAGTTTTTGGTAGATCATAATTTTAAAAAAAGACAATTAATTATCTCAAAGTTGTTAACTCAATTTGAATCTCTAATCTGTGTCCAATAAAGAAGACCGCCCCTTCCTTCCTCCATCTTGGGAGAGAGAAGGAGATTTGTGAGGGGGAAGAGAGAGAAGCATATCGCTTTAGAAATGTTGATTTCGGTCTCACATTTTAGAAGAGGGAGATGAGTAAAAAGCGAATATCAAGTGGTCGCTAAGATCGACACTCCTTCGTCAAATATGTACGTTGCTTCCCGACTCCAAATCCATTTGTTGCTGGTGTGTTATGAAGGAGAAGGGACGGTCAGTGGAGGTGGACAGACTTTACTCCTAGTTGTGATTCCCAGTAGCCTTGTCTATCATTGGACCTCGTATTTTACATAAAAACTACTAATTCTTTTATATTTTGCTTTTTTAGTCTTCCAGATTTGTCCAATGCTTGATCTAAATCCTCTTAGATTGTATTTTACTTGAAAATCACAAAACATATAAAAAAACATAAAGTAATACAAAAACACAACCTAGGTTTGTCAAATGTCCACTGATCAAATAATTATGATTGAAGTACAAAATATAAGTAATATACTAAAGATGCATTGATAGAAGGGGAAAATATATCAAATATGGGAGTGTCAAACACTATAAATTGAGTGTCATTAGCTTTGTTGAGAAATAAAGTGTGGGGTAAGACCAACATGTGAGACATCTTTTCATTGCAAAAAATTGGGTTTTGAAAAGATACTAGTGGCTGATTAGTGACCGTGTTCGAAGCTAGTTTCTCTCTAGTAGAAATAAAAATTTCATCCTTTGAATTGATATCCAACTTAAGGATGCATTTTTAAGGGCACATATAAAGATTCAGAGTTTAAACGTTGTTCTCTAACTAAGGTTTAAGCACCTATTTATAGTACATGAGGGGTAAACTAGGGATATTCTCTCCTAAAACTCAGTCATAGGCTTCCTAACACCACTAGGAGTCGAATCTCTATATATAGGAAAATATACTAAAGATGCATTGATAGAAGGGGAAATGTATCAAATATGGGAGTGATAAACACTATAAATTGAGTTTCATCAGCTATGTTAAGAAATAAAGTGTGGGGTAAGGCCAACGTGTGAGACACTTTTTCATTGCACAAAATTGGGTTTTGGAACGAATACTAGTGACTCTTCAGTGACCTTGTTCGAAGCTACTTCCTCTCTAGTACAAGTAAAATTTCCACCTGTTGAATTGATAGCTAACTCGATGATGCATTTTTAAGGGCATGGATAAAGCTTCTGACACCCTTTAATTTCATTGACCCTCTGCACGGATTGAGGTATAGGAGTTAAAAGAAATACTCTGACAATGACAGAGATACATAAATTGCTCTTTCTAACTAATAAGGGTCCAATGCTCTAGTAAAGCTCTCTAGACAAGAAAAACAAACCACTAGTGGTGAGAAAAATCAGAAAGATTGAAAAAATATATGATGGTATGCTAAGGAAAAGGTGCTTAAGTACAGCTAAAACCATTTTCAAAAGTTTCATCTATGTGTTTTGAGATTCTAATGCATGGTTAGTGGTTTAAGTTTGAGTTGGATTGCATGGTATTCTTGCATGTTAATGTGGCTAGGATTCTCTCGTGCTATGGTTAAACTTGTAAGTTGACTTTTAATCCACTTCCTAAGATCATAATGGTGTGATGCTCCTTAGTTTTCATCAAGTTCTATGATTGTGGGTAGTTTTTGACCTTGTAAGTTGACTTTTATTCCACTACATAAGAATAAGATCATAATTGTGTGATGCTCCTTAGTTGTCATCAAGTTGTGTGATTGTGGGTAGTGTTTGCTTGAGGACAAGCAAAGTTCAAGTATGCGGTATTTTTTTATAACACTCCATTTATAGTGTGTATCACTCCCATATTTGATACATTTTCTCCTTTTATCCATGCACCTTTAGGATATTTTACTCAATTTCCTATGAATATCATAACTATTTGATCAATGATTTTTCATTAGACATAGATTGTGATTTATATCTTTTTATGCCTTTTTGGTATATATCTGTACTTTTCAAGATAAAACACAATCTAAGAAATTGAGAATCAAGACTTGGAAGATTATGGAAGATCAAAGGAGCAGATTTAGAAAGATAAAGGAGTTTTCACCCCTAAGACGGCGCATGATGAAGGGGAAGTCTTTTGGAATTCTCAACTAGAGCCCAATAAGAACCCTCTGGAGAAAATGGAGCCCAATCTGAAGGAAAATTCATGTATGCCACAAGAAGGGTCTAACTATTGTAGCCTAATTTGCACGATAGGGTTGTTTGTGGGTTATGCAACCTGTCCCAAGAAGAAACACGGCGGTGTTGTCTATATTATTATATAGGATTTTATGAAACTAGTTCTTGTGATGTGCTATTGATCTAGGCGTGTATAAGATGAATGATCACCCTCTTATACATTCTTAGAGTCAATGCTTGATTGTTTAGATCTCCGACACTATAGACATTTTGTTATAACTCAAGAGGCTCACAATTAACTAAGTGATATCCTTATTTCTCTGTTCTTAATTATATAGTTGATGACATGAAACGAAAGCATGCATTATCTATTTATTGTTCCTCTCGCATGTGACGAAAGCTCGGTTTGGAATGCTTTAGTAGATGGGATAGAGTTATTCATTAGTTGAATAATTGAGATACATGATATGATTAAGAATTGAGATGCATGTTTATATTGAGGGATCGTTTCTACTCAATAACGTACATTTACTTTTCTAATTTTACCTTTTTCCTATAGAAAATAGAAAATCAACCTAAACATATATATCTTTCATTGCGCTTGTGAGTCGTGATATGAGTAGTTATGCATTATAAAGTCTCGTGGAATACGACCCTATTCATTCCTAAGTCTTTTGTCACTTATGGTTTACTATGCATCACATTCGAGCATAGGTTGTTCAATTACAAAGAAGTTGCTATTAGAAGACCATGTGAATACGATTCTAAATGTTATGAGATTTATTACTTTGCGATATACTAATATCGAATCAATATCTATATTTATGTCTCCTCTTTTGACCTTTCTAAAATAACATTTTGCTCCCAAATAAATTTTAAAACTATCTTTCAACTATTTAGACACAATTATTCTTCTACTATACTTTTCATTCATTTATGAAGTGTTTTCTCTATGTGATTGTAAAAGAGTTGAAATCTCGATGTTCTTTTTTCGAACAATATATAAGGATGGATCGATCTGCCCCACCCGCCTCATACTCACGCAATCAAGCGTGTGTTACCTAATTTGGCTCGTGCTTAATGCAAGACACGTATAAATATTGTCATATTGAGATATCCGTCCCGCTTCGCCATTGCGATCACTTCTTCTGACAACTGAGGTTCACAGTGGCTCCTCGTTTCCAACATTGACTTTTGTTAGCCCTACATATGCTTTGCTGAAATGACAAGGCATTTGGAGGGGGAAACAGAGTTCATGTCAACAAACCATTATTGACTTCCATTTTCTCTCATGTCCAACCAAGCAAGCGAAAAGTCAACAGAAGTGCCCGACGGCTGACCTAAGAAAAAAGAAGCAGCCAATAGAGGTAGCGGACATCTCAACCAAGCAACGCGACGACGCTTGTCCGCTTCCTCCCCCATCCAAATTTCGATCGAGTCCGCGACACCTATGTCGTTGCTTCCGTTCCTGCCGTCCAGAGTATTCTTGGATAAAAACTACAAATCAGTGCCTCATTCTACTTTGTATTGGCATTCCAGTACTTTTACTTTTAGTTCTTTGCTTTGTGGTCATCCAAGACTACGAGTTGGTTTAACCACAAATTTCGTTTTGTTGCTATTACATATTCTAGAACACATCTATATTGAATATTAGGGCTGGGCATGTAAGCGGATCATCCGCGGGTTTGGGCCGACCCACCCGCATTGACTCGAATTTCGTTAAGTGGGTGGGTCTGTGGGTGGGTGACGGGTTGCGCTGGGAGCCATCCGTCGGGTGGTGGGTGGGTTGTGGGTGAATGTGCGGGTGACCCGCTCAACCCAACAGCAAAAAGATCAAAGTCGTTGGTGCTAGAGAGAGGAGAATGAAGACGTTAGATATAAACTCGGACTGCTCCTGGAGTTTGAACCTAAAAATCAACCTTCCAAATAGAGATCCCCTCTTCTTCCTTTTACTTTTTCCTCTAATTCTTGAGCCTAGATCACCGCTCTTTACTTTGTGGAATTATTTTCCTTAGTTCCTTGCACCTAATAATCGTCTCAATCTGTAGAAAACTCTTTCATAATAGAATTTCTATCCAATTTAAGAACTAATTCGACATTTTTCGCCCTATTTCAACTTCTTGTTTCCCTCGATGATTCTCTTCACCTATTATCATGTCAAGTTGACTCCTTTATATTATATACATTGTGATGTGGGTGAACCCACAAACCCACCCGCATCATCCACCATCCGCCCGACCAACCCGAGACTAAATGTGGGTGGGTGGTGGGTTAAAAATTATCAATCCGTTTAAGCGCGGGTGGGTGCATTTTATGGTCAAAATCCACCCGACCCACCCAATGCCCACCCCTATTGAATATAACTTGATAATTGAATTTTATGCTAATTACAATATTTCTGAATTTAATCCAAATCGAGTTCTTTCACTAACCTGCAACAAAATAACCAAATAAAAAACATGCAATAAAATATATAGGATATGTGGAGAAATTGTTCGTGTTTAGCCCGGTGTATTGTTCTTTGAGATCAGAGGTGATATGGTGTAAAAAAAAACCTGACACGATCGTTTCAGAACCGCTAATATTTCCTATCGATTTGTGATCTGGTAGCCGATATTTTCGGTCCAACTGAGCAATAGTATAAGTATTCGGTTTCTAAAACATTGGACAAGACACGAGCGCGTCTAACTACGTGGGACCACCAGTCTCCTAAAGTATGTGTGCTCTGTAGTAAAGATGACAAGTCGAGACCTTGAAATGATTCCTTGGCAGTCGCTAACAATGACGTAGTCAGAATTTCTATTGAGAGGGATCTTAGTGAGATACATGAACGGCAAGGTGAAGCTTGTATTATGTTGAGTGAGAGAATTCACTTTGGGGTTTTCATTCCAATTCACAGTAAGCACAGTATGCATTTTGAGCTTGGGCTTTGCTCAGCCACTGGACTCGCTTGTACTATGACTACATACTCCGATGCTGCAGGCAGGCATTAGGGGTGGCTATACGGTCCGGTCCGGTTAAATTGGATCAAATTGATTCGGTCCCAGTCCGGTCTTTTCGGGAATATAAGGACCAAAGATTGGATTGGATACAGTCCGGTCTTGATCCGGTCCGGTCCCAATTTTATCTTGATTTTAGGTGTTGGGGGTCTCTTATCCGGTCTTTATCCGGTTTTTTACCTCAAATCTAAGCCCGAATATGAGATTGCATTGTTTGCTATCCGGTCCCGGTCCGGATTATACGGTCCGGTTTCGGGTAAAACCAAACAGTTCGGGACCAAATAGCCAGCCCTAGCAGGCATGTTGGGGAGTATAGTCTGTTTGCTTCTTTAGTTCCTTGTTCTGAGGATTGAAATGTCAAGAAAAAACTACCCAAGGACTGAAAGCGCAGCATAATTTATTTAACGTACTTATTTATAATAATAAAAAATCCACCAATGCCGATTCTTTCTTTTCCAAGCTTCCTGTACCAAATCGCGACGACCATGACCCTGCGCCCCGCACTGAACCATTCAACACAAAGAAGGAGTTTCAACACGCCAAATCAATCCATTCCAACGCAGTCACTTTCCTCCCATTTCCCATAAAACCCATTTCCCAAAACACAAATGCAAATCTGAAATCCCTCGCTCCGGTCCGAAATTAGATTGCAGAGCCATGAAGTTCGGCTTCCGATTCGCCTCCGCCGCCATTACAGCGCTGCTGCTAGTCTTCTCCTCCTCCTTCCCGCCGCCTGTTTCCGGTAGGTTCTTCCCAAACATAACCTCCCTCCCGCGCGATTTACCTCTCAAGCCCAATTTCACCACCGCCTGGGAGTCCTTCCAGAACCTCTCCGGCTGCCGTGCCGGCGAGAAGCTCGACGGCCTCTCCAAGCTCAAGAAGTACTTCCACCACTTCGGCTACATCCCGGACAACGCCTACAATCTCACGGATCTGTTCGACGACTCGCTCGAATCCGCCGTGAAGACCTACCAGAGGAACTTCAATCTCAACGTCACGGGCCAGCTCGACGACCGGACCCTCCGCCAGATCGTACTCCCCAGATGCGGCAACGCCGACATAGTCAACGGCTCCACGACGATGAACTCCGGCCGGCCGGCCAATTCGACGGGCCAGATCCACAGTGTGGGCCGGTACTCGTTCTTCCCCGGGACCCCGCGCTGGCCGGCGAGCCGTCGGGATCTGACCTACGCCTTCCTCCCGAACAACCGGCTTTCGCCGGAGGTGAGGAGCGTGTTCGCCACCGCGTTCGACCGCTGGTCGGAGGTCGCGACGCTGACGTTCACGGAGACGGACAGCTACCTGACCGCCGACATCCGGGTCGGGTTCTTCAGCGGCGACCACGGCGACGGGGAGGCGTTCGACGGCGTCCTGGGGACCCTGGCCCACGCGTTCTCGCCGCCGAGCGGGCGGCTCCACCTCGACGGCGACGAGAACTGGGTGGTCGCGGGATCCAACGGCGACATCGCGCTGCCGTCGGCCGTGGATCTGGAGTCGGTGGCGGTGCACGAGATCGGGCACTTGTTGGGGTTGGGCCACTCGTCGATTGAGTCGGCGATCATGTTCCCGACCATTTCGTCGCGGACTCGAAAGGTTGAATTGGCGCAGGACGACATCGACGGCGTGCAGCAGTTGTACGGCAGCAACCCCAACTTCAACGGCACATCTACACCGTCCGTTCAGGAGAGGGATACGAGTGGGGCCCATGTTGAGGAGAGATGGGGATTTGTTACTCTAATTCTGGCCGTTGGATTGATATTGCTTTGTGTATAGGTCGTCCGTGCTTTTTTCTGTTTGTGCGACGGCCGACGGCCGTCCTTATACTTTTGTGGTTGGATTTGTAATTTATTTGACTTCTGTCGCGTAGTAATTTTGTAATCCATTATATGATTATAATTTATACGCGCTTTATTTTTAAAGTTTCTTTTTTTATTATTCTATTCTAGCTGTATATATTATTGATTCGTATTCAACTCTTCATTTATAAGAGATGATACATTCCCTTATTCCTTGTTCAGTTTTACTACTTTTTTATATCAATCCACATGTCCTGCCAAAGCATGCAAATTCATGAACTTAATTAAAGAATAATATCATTTCCAATGACAAAGTGAATCAGTGCTAGAATACAAAATTATTTCGACATTTTGATATTTTTGATAATCTAGTTTAGTATAGATTTCATCATGATAGTTTGTAGATTGTTTTTATATAAGTAGTATTAATTAATTACGACCAACATTTTGATGTAATTTTTTTTTTGTAATTTGGGCATAATTTTATTTTTACATCAATATGACGTTTTGAGTGATGCAAACATAGAATTTGTTCTATAGTATTGTTCACTAATGGAAAGATGAAACTACAATTATATATGCCAACTAAAATAGTTAACCAACATATGCATAAGCAATTAAACAATGGTTAAGCAATTAAAATAATTAAGATAAGAGGAATATTGGAATTAAGATGTAATTAAGCAATTAAGTCATATAAGCAATTAAACAATAAGTAATTACATAAGAGGAGTTTTGGAATCTCCTCCAATAATATATGGTATAGTTTTGTGTACTTTTCTTCATTCCAAATTTCCTGTAATGAAAGTAAAAGTAAGAAGGGCATTTTAGTCTTTATAAGACTTTATTAATTCATATAAAAGATATTAATGTCAAGATTTGAACCGTCATCTCTTCGAACAAAGACAACAAATATAACCAATTACACTAAACAAATTTGTTGTAGCTTTTTATTACAAAACATAGACGAAGTTAAACTCTAAAAATCCGCAGACTTTTCCATCATGATTAGCTATCCCACTAATTATCTCGTAAGTATTTGGTGTTTGATACATAGATTTTCACAGTAGAGTTCATGTAACTTTCTCCATTTCAAATTTCGACTCTCCTTAATTTTTACTAAGGGTAAATTAGTACATAACTAACATAGTAAAAACTCTTTCTTTTACTACGTGTTGTGTCCTTGCATTTTTTAATCTAGTTTTTTTTTTGCTCTTTTTTATTTTTGTTCCTATCCCTTCATAAGTTCCTATGAAATTTCCTCCACAGTGCAATAGTTTGCTCTCTTTAACTTCCCAATACAAGGTCGTCTATGAAAATTAATCTTTTGGTATCTCTTAGTACTATGGTTTGATTGTTGAGGATTGAAGCTGAGCAAGTAGAAGATTTCAACTCTGATATAAGTCCATGACGAATAGAATGGAGTTCAATCAAGTAGTTAGGGTCTAGCCTATCTCGCTCGATTCCTCCGCACTGGCATCGCCCAATGCATGGTTCTATCTCTCCTATTGATGAACTACTAGAGGAATTATTATGTTGCTTCTATTACCAAAGATGATGTTTGACCGGTAATCGGTTATATCTTCCTCATTTACTCCCCTTCCTATACCAGACTTTAAACTTGAACGGGGTTTGTGTTTTCATCCAAGGTTAATCATTTCACATATGTAAGTCATTCATTTCTTCTCTTTGTCTCATGGTTTTATCTTTCTGATTAATAACAAAATATGTACAACAACTCACCATGGGATGGAATCAGGACCGCATCTACCTTAATCTACCTCTCTAGGACTCTCTAATTCATCTCAGACGTTCATTTAAATAAGTTTTAATCTCAAACGTCCATTCAACTTTAAGTACGACGATAACCCTAGCTACATTCTAATCTTAACCCTATTCCGTTCGTTGGACTCTCTGCCTCCTTCTCTTTTTCGTTTAGCTCCGAAAATTTTCTCTCCCTCTATTCACCGGCGCTTCCCTCTCCTCTTCAGTAGTGGCCAGGCGATGGTACGACATAGATTAGTTCCTCTTCTTCTAGGTTTTCGGTCTTTAATTCAATATTAGCTTTAGATCTATTATTCAGTTTACATTTGTTGTTTTCTTTTCTTCTAGGCTCGAAAGCAATGATAAAGCTACCGACGACATGATAATGGTGTTTAGGCAATGACTGCAAATATGTTGGCGGCAAGACGGTGATCAATGACGGCACATTGCAGCGGCAACATATTTGTGGTGGTGGTTTTTACGTTTCTTATTCTATTTGTATATAACAAGTAGATACATATTAATTTTTGTATTCGTAGGGAACACCAATTCCATTGTATATTCACTACCATAACAAATTCCATTGTATATTCCCCAAACCTCCTCTTTTTTGTAGTGTGACATGGATTTTACATTATATGAAAAATAATTAAATAAAATTTTAAAACCAAAATTTCCAAATTTTAATTTTTTTGTAATTCAAAATGGAAAAAACAAATAGTAATGGTGGAAAATATAAAAAAAATTAAGTGAAAGGTGCTGACTTGGCGGTAATGTGGCTCGTTGACCTTTAGTCAACACATTTGACCATCCAAGATAACGGTCAATTTTTCGATTTTGGTCAATTTCGTTACTTTGGTGTATAGTTCAAGCCATAATATTATAGATAAAAAGATTGGACAAAATATTTATTATGTGAAAAGTTGAAGCCATACAAATATATCAACCCTAATAAAAAAAAGGGTAAATACAATTTAATATCCAAACCTTTCATTTTAAACAATATAATAACCAAACCTTTTCGAAAACAATCTAATATCCAAATCGTCAACTTTCCGTCCGTTTGATCGTTGGTTGACACTTCAAAAAAGCTTTGTTTAGGGGAAATTGTCACAATACAACTTTGTTTTCTTGTTTGGCATTGCAGATGACTGAATATTTAGATTTCTATACCATCGTGGTGGAGTCATGGACTTCTCGGGTTTGGAACCACGATATGCTGGTGGTTTTTCAGAGAAGATATCGATGGATATTGATGAAGCGTCGTACTTCGAACTTTTTTGAAGTGTCAACTAACGGTTAAACGAACGGAAAGTTGACGATTTGGATATTAGATTGTTTTCGAAAAGGTTTGGCTATTATATTGTTTAAAATGAAAGGTTTGGATATTAAATTGTATTTACCCTAAAAAAAAAGAGTAGGCATCCCTCAAATCTGGCCGTGCTCCCAAATAGAGTCGAAGGGGTTAGGTGAAGGAGGCGGGTGGGTGCGGTAGAAATTGTGAGAGAGTCCAAGGGGTTCGTGAGAAAGTGGTAAAAAAGACTAGTTATCTCCCACTAGCAGTCAAAATATGGATTCTTGGTGGTGGAAGAGGCACCAACCAAATTCGCGGGGGTAACTATCTGTGTGTACGCAAACGCAAGAGAGAGAGAAAATGAAGAGAAAGAGGAGGGGGCACCACCGCACCAGCAGCAATCATCATGTCGTCGTGTTTTGTATATCTCTTCTCTTCCCACTGCCCCATAATTATTCCCCTCACCCTTCTGCTTCTGCCCCTCTCTTCCTCCTCCTCCTCCTCATCATCATATTCATATATCACTATCTTCACCCTCCTCTCTACTTCCATCTATCTGCTCAGAGAGAGGAGGGAGAGAGAGAGAGAAGGCGCATCGATCCAACAACAACAACAACATGAAGATGAAGCTGTTCAAGCCTTGCTCCTCCTCCTCCTATTCCCATTTTTTCTTCTCTCTAGCACCACCAGATTATTGCATATACAACCCGCACCTCAGAAACAGGCCCGAGGGTTTTTAATATTAAATAAATAAGGCTGCCTGGGTTCTGCAACTCGCCTCTCTCTCTCTCTGATCTATCTCACACCGGGGGAAGGGAATTGAAGCATCATGGTCCGATCTTACCTGCTGCCCTACTCATAAGTTCCTACTTAATTACTGTTTCCCATACAATTTATGTTTCAAGTTCCGACTGCTTATATCTTGTCTTCAACTTCTTTTTTCCCCCTCAATATATCTTTTCCCTTGCTTGACTAGCGATCGAGTTCCATCATCCTTCGTTTGGATGGTCCTGTTATTTCAGATCTTGCGTACGTACGTGCTGCTGCCTGCAGCTTCTTCTTTTGGGTTGTTTTGTTTTCCTTTTGTGGACTGTACGTATATATGAAGGGAGTTTGAAATAACAGTGGTTTTTTTTTTTTTTTTTGACAAAGGAGAGTCTTTATTGCATTTTAACCGGTCAGATACAAAGAGACAACAAACCAACATTCTGGTTCAACAGGAAGAAGGAAAAGAGAACTCGGTTACAATCAAACCATGAAAAGCAAAAACAAGAACAAAGAGCACAACACAGTTTGACAGCAACCATCCAACAGAATCGAACCCTTGAAAAAACCAGTACATCAGAAATCTCTCTTGCAACCAACCACTTAGAATGCAACAAGAGCGAAATCAGCTTGTCCGATCAACTTGAAATCCATGGCTAGTGATTACATCAACCATATGCCGCCTCCCGGGGATAACTCAACGGCATCCATCACAGTAAATCCTAGAAACAAGATTGCATGGCGGTGGAAAAGGATTTGAACGGATTGCTCCAAGCTGACAGAGGCAGAGGAAGCTGAGGCAGAGAAATCATGTTTGAAGCAGAGCAGAAGATCCCAAAGGAGCCACAAATCTCCACGGAGAACACCGATTACCAACCACAACCACCGGAGAAGACCCGACCCTCCACGATCCGACGACTCACCCCGCAACACGAACACAAAGTGGAGGTCGGAAAGGGAAAGAAGAGAATGGTTTCATCAAAGGATGAGACCACCAATCTGGAAAAATCACCACCATCCAGATCTGGAATAGGCACTCACCAAACTGCAAACTCCGGATCCTACAACGAGCAAACCTTGAACAGGAGTACCAAGAACCGAAGGAAGAGACAAAGCTTGACGGGAAAAGAAGAGACAAAGCTCGACTGGAATGAAGGCCACAACGGCAGGGAAAAGCTGGAAATCCGAAGGAAAAACACCTAGAACAAGGCCAGGATTAGCATGAGCACAAAGAAAATGAGGAGGGGGAAAGGAATGGAGGGCTTGAGCTGCCGCCGGTCACCAAAAGGAGCCGGCGGCAGCCCCGGGAAAAAGAAGGAAAGTGGAACCGAGAAGAAGAGAGAGGGCAGTGAAAAACAAATAACAGTGGGTTTGTTGATTAATTTTCCTTTCGATTTGCGCTTTCTTTCTTTCTTTCATTCATCTCCATCTTTCTCTGTGATCTCCAACTCCTCATCACGTTAATTATATATACCTCTATACATGCATGTTTTCTCCAATTCACAGCTTCAACTAATTGTGCACGGCTTGTTGAGTACTGATTGATTAGGGCTTCTATACCCTGCTAATTAAACCCTAAGCTAGCTAATCTTCACACAATCAAGCCCTCGATCCATCTCTTCTTGCTGGCTGCACTACCTACCTTGTGAATTTCTCTTCGTCTTTCTAGTTTTTTGCTTTCACCCTTTTTCTTTTCTTCTCTCCTTCAAGCATATCATAATCTCCAGCTAGCGGTCACTACAAGAGAAATGACTTTCGATCACGGGATTTCCCGTGACGAAATGATCCATTCCCGTGATTAATTTATTTTGTCACAGGTACTTTCCCATGACAAGCATGCCCGTGGTCAAAGGTCAATGATCACAGGAAATCCTGTGACTGATAGCCAATAGCAGCGGGAAAACTCCCGTGATTTATAGTTCAATTAGTCACAGTAAACCCCGTGATCAAGCTACAATCACAGGATGGTCCCGTGATTAATAGATGTGATTGCTATGAGATTTTCCATGATTGTTTGTGTTATTGATTATGGTATTTTTCATATTAGTCGCGGTAATACAATAATTTGACATTTTTAATCTAATTATTCATTCCATTGATAGGACTCAACCACAACTATATGCTAATACTATTAATACAATACAAAATACAAAGAGCAAATATAACTCATCAATTAGTAATAATCGTATTTACATAAAAAGAATTCAGTTAATAGTACATACAAATTCTACTCCCTTAGTGTAAATCCATGGCAAAACTCAGCCAAAAGATGCAGAAACAGAGAAACTAAAAATAAATGCTTCTCTATATTGAAGTCTTCTAAGTAAGAAGTGGAACCATCAACAAGTTTCATTCCCCTTCTACTTTTCCATGTCACTCGTCCGCTTGCTGTTGATTCAATGAAAGAGTGAGTTATCAAGTCTTGGCCATCAGTATTGCTCGAAGCTTCCATAGCCCCTTCTGCAAAATTGATGGGTGTTTGCGGCAATTGATTATGCCTTCTAATCGGAACTATTATGTTCCTATTCCTCCACTCCAACCTTATTACTCGATGACATTATAATAGAGTCCACTTAAAGCACACAGGAAACAGAGAACTCAATAAACATATTAATAGAGTCCACTTAAATCCAACCACATCCCAATCTGCAGACAGAGGAAGAGAAGTGAAGAAAAAGACTGACAAAGACTTTACCTGTTGTTCGATGATTTGAATTGTGAGAGAGGCGCTTAATGGGATTGTTCTGCATTGCTGAACACCAGGTGGAGCAAAGGGCGACGGAGACTAGATTCTAAGACGTCACGGCCAAACAGGGGAAGTTGTCAGAGATCCACAAAGGAATGGAACCCCAGAATCGATTAGATCAGGTGATAGAATGAAAGAAAAAGGGAGGCGACAACAGTCACAGAGATCTGACCTTGTGAAGTGTCGGGGAGAAGGGCTCGAGGAAGAGTAGTCTTCTTTCTCATTCGCTGCTGTAGCCCAAAAATCTCAACATCAGGGGGAAAATCAGCGAGATGCGGTGGAGTTGGTGTATCCCGCTGAGATTGACAGCAACGAAGAACTAGAGATGGTGACCGGTGGCGATTGAATCTAGGAAGAGGGTTCTGCAGTGAGATCTAGAGATGGAGAGGGGGCTAGGCGGTCGGCGGTGGAAATCTGGGAAAGACTCTGGGAAAAGGGTTTGGAGGTGTAGTTTGCTGCGGCAAAAATCGTAAGCCTAAATCTCGGGGAATCTGTGAGGAGGTAGATCGCAAGAGGGTGAAAGAGTGAGATAGCATAACAGAGAGTGTGGGGGTGAGAGAATTTGGCTCGGCAGGGGAATGCTTTAAAAAGAACAAGTGTGAGTTGGCTTTAAAAGAACAAGTCAAAATAAGCCAAAAATTTAGGGCGGGCTGCTTCAAAATTTTCAAGGGACAAAAAATTATGAATATCGCGCCAAGTGAAATTTCTAGTTTTTTGGTTCCCGCCCGCCAATAGTCACGGGTTGTTTACCCAGATTTTTGTTAAATAGCTAGCGGTCACGGGGATATGTAACCGTGATAAATAATTTATTTTTAGTAATGGGAGTCTACCCGTGACAGAATGATCCCGTGACTGAAGATGTATTTTCTTATAGTGGGTCACGATTATTAATTTATATCATCTTATGAATTTCTGAAATGAGGTAACAGTTACCTATCAGATACACAGGCAAAAACAGATTTACATGATAAATAGGGGGAAAAAACAAAAGGTATAACAGTAAAAGTTTGTTTTGAAAGGAGTTTCACTTTTTAACAAGTTAAACCTTTTTTTCGGCTCCCTAATTAATCATTCTCTCTGTCGGCCTCTCTATAGAGTTTTACTTTTGCGCACCAACGCCTCTACTATCATGGGATCATCGATATCCGGGAACTGAAACCCACCAGCCATAAGGACCTCTCTAGTCGGAGTCACTATAACAAATCCCCCAGCTGAATGAGACCCCCTCCTCGTAGCCCCATCCCACATGCAAACCAGCCTATCAGCCCCTACCGGCTCCGGTTGAGATGTAGGAGCGACAGAGGAGCGAGGGTGCCGATCCACAGGCAGCCCTACCCATTCCTCATACTGCTGGTTGTAATGACGCAGCAGCGCAGGGAACCCAAACTGCTTGCCCTCAAAGACAACCCAGTTGCGAGAACGCCAGATTCGCCACAGAACAGCAACAACTGCCATGAGAACAGATGGCTGAGTAATCAGAGCCATCAATCGCTTAAGAAACATGGGAAAAGTGTGTTGGGGTAACTCTTCACCTAGGGAAGCCAGTCCCGAATAGTCCCAAAGCGCCCGAGCGACCGGACAAAAGAGGAATAAATGTTCCAAGGTTTCTGACTCAGCCCAGCAAACCGGACACCTAGGTAAGACCGGAACATCCTTGGCAATGAGGGCTTCCGTCGTAGGAAGCATGCGATTCAGGATTTGCCAAACAAACACCTTCTATTTAGGGGGGAGATTTGTTCCCCACAACCTGATCCAACTAGCCTTATTCATCCAGCTAACCTCTGACCTCCAACAACCCTGTCTCCTATCAAGGGTGACAGCTAAATGATAGGCCGACTTCACAATGAAAATGCCCTCCGGAGTATTATGCCAAACCAATATGTCCGCTACCGGCAACCGCGGAAGGGGGATGGCTTTAATGGCCGCACAGGTAGGCGGGTCGAACCACTGGCTCAACTTCCGGTCACACCACCGGCCCCCCTCCGGCCCGATCACCTCTGCCACCACTGGATCTCCCTCCATTGGTAGGATCTGGGGGTTATACCGAGGAGGATCAAACTGCAGTTGAGGAATCCAGTTTGAGTGGAGCAGGGAAGCAGACTGCCCATTCCCAATTTGCCAACGAAGCCCTGCCTCTAACAACTGGCGGCCATACAGAATACTCTGCCACCCCCAAGAGGGACGAGACCGCGTCGTTGCCGAGAGGAAGGACCCATGCAGAAAATACTTCCTTTTATAGACCTGAGCCAGGAGGGATTGGGGATCCTGAAGGAGACGCCAACCAATTTTAGCCAGCAGAGCTTGGTTAAAATGCTCAAACAAGCGGGATGAATTATGCCATAGCTAATCATGGAATATTTGAACTTGTTCTTGTTTATTATTGTGTTCATCTTTTACAAGGTTAAATTAAGGTAGTAGTTCTGGAGTATTGCCTGGTCAGTTGTTTATTCGATGAACTCCTTGGTGCCAGCCAGGATTGCAATGCAAAACTCAAATTTGCAAAATTTTCAAAATCTCGTATTTTATGACTCATGTGAAGAATCTTATAATATTTGATATGAATTGTCCGAGTGATAAAAAATCTTACTAATGTTATAAGACACATGATTTTTATGTCTTGCAAGTCTGCGTTTGCATCATATCCTTTCCTTTGGTTAGAAGATCTTGATAGAAGAAAGGAAGTATCAGCAAAACATTATATCGTAAAACAATACATATATTCTACAAATATCGTAAAACAATACACAGATAAAAAAAAACAAAACTGAGGATATCACAAGAAACATAGCCTTACGCTAAATCAGCCAAACGAACCAAAACTCCAGTTGACTAAACATTGGTGGAACTGTCTTGTTGGATATAACACGAAAAGCTAACTCCCAACACGTCATCGTGAAGAATCATTAAGGGTTCGAAGGGGGGTCATCCAATTCATATGTACCAAAGGGATAAACGAGAAGGGAGCTTATTGTTGTCTAAGGTGGGTTGAGGGAGTAGAGCACTAAACTGTGAGCCTTCTAGTGTTTAGGACGAAATCGGGAAAGGTGAACTACCGCGAGTCGATTACAGGGTGGGAAGATGGATTGTAAGTAACTTGTTTTCGAATATATTGTACATTCATTTAATGTTAATGAGTTTTCACATTGCTACTAGTGATGGCAATGGGGCGGGGCAGGTACTTCAATATCCATGCACCGCCCCACGCTACTACGGGTCGGAGCTTTCACGATAAAATGAAGGAGAAAACACTTTATGAATGAAAACATAGTCATAATAGAATGAGTAATTGTGTCTAACCAGTTGAAAGATCTAACTCTAACTAGTTGAAAAAAAGTCAAAATAGGAGAAATATGTATAGATATTGTAAGAAATTGAGGTAGAATATAATGGGCCAAGAACGGGGCGAGGCAGGGCATGGCGGGTCGGAAGCAGATACCCTTGCCTCGACCCACCCTACTGCAGGTCGAATAATACCCACCCCATCACGGGTCAGGTCGGGTACGAAATACCCGCGAGTCTGGTTCAAATTGCCATCACTAATTTCTACATATTATGTTTATGCAGTTCATGTACAAACCGAACATATTAGCGGTCAAACCATTCTACTTGATAAACTGGCGCTACGAGATAGATCGATTTGACAACCTTGAGGTCTGTGTAAGACCTTGTACCTTCCTTGATCCTTGAGGAATCGAATGACGCAAAAAGAAAGTTGACGGTAACGGCCTGACGGAGTGAGGCTCCCTCCCGATCGGACGTCCCTGGTTGACGCTGATGGATTGAGGAGGATCAACCGTCTACATCCCGGAGCACTGTAACTTACAGGTCGCCTATTCGTTCCCTCGTCCAGCTTCCTTCAATGCATTTCTATCTAATTTGATAAAGCTCGCAATCATTCGTTCATCCAAGTCTGCCTGTTCGAGGAAGAAATCCAATTCGAAGTTCGCCAGTTTCTGGAGGGAAATTTCTTCGAGGCTAGGGTTTCTAATATCTTCCCGCAGTATATCTTCACCTTGCTCGCTCGCTCCCCTGCTCCTGGCCAGTAAACCGGTGGAGGACAGCGCTGATTGATGAACAAGCTCTGCTAGTGTTTTTGTAGCTGCCCCTTGCCATGGCGGAAGCTTCCAACGGTCGCGTTACTATTACTCTCGGTCCTAGTGGCCAGGTACGCATAACTCTTTCCTCATTTATTCCCAGTCGTTGCCAGTTCTTTTCTGCTCTCTCGGATGGTGTTGGGTCTCAGGGAGGGAAGCTGTATCAGCTAGTTTCATTTTGGCCTTCTCCAAGTTAAGTTGATTCTGAAGTTGCTGACCTTACAGGTAGTGAAGCGAGCTGTGTCGGCTGCTGGCTATTCAGATTCTCTGCTAGGTGCTGGAGGGAAGCGCTCTGTGAGGGATAGATTAGGAGGTGACTCGGAGGGTTCCATGTACCGTGGCGACAAGCGGTATGTTTGGCATCTGCCTGCCGTTCTGCTATTTCTTTGAGTTTGATGATGAGCTCGCTTTGACTTTGGGTTGTTACTATGCGCCTTCTGAAGCCAATTGCTAGATTTGTGCTCAATATGTCTCTGTTGCTTCCTCGGTTTGCATTGGTTAGTTCATAGAGAATTTGCTTTTGCATTGATTGATAATCCCTTGGTCCCTCATTCAGGCATAGAAGCGATAGTTATTTGACTGCTGCAAACTCTGCTGGTGTTAGAGGTAATGAGCTTTCCTTCCTTACATTGCAACATTGATTTCCTTTCTCTTAGAATATTTCCCGATCACTGACCTGGTGCATTTGAATAACTAAAGATGCTCGTATTGGTAAGGGCGACCTACGCTTCAAACTCTTGCAAAAGAATGTGGGTAGAAGAGATCAGAGTGATGATGACAAGTGGGATTTGCGAGATAAGCTCTCAAAGAAGGCACAATCCCTTAGCCACCCTCCTGCTGTTCTTGGTACTGGGGAGCTCATGTCATATCCTAGGGAGACTAGTCTATTGGGCGGAATCCCTCCTTCAGGAAGTTCCAGTGAATTGTCTCGGAGGGAACCTTCAAGAAATTCATATTCCCCTTGGACTTTGGACCATATAAGACGGAGATCTCCAGGTAGGATTATAACTGCTTCAACACCTCCAGATAGGGGTATCAGTACATCTAGAGGGTTCTCTCCGCCAAGACATGTGGATGAAGGTCAGCGAAGGTCATTAGGCAGGTCTATTGATGATGTTAGACCGGTTTCATACATGACGAGAGATGTTCGTGATGCTCCTAGGTCCATGAGCAGTTCCACTCATTTCATGCCAAAACCAGGTTTGCCTACTGTTTCAACAAAAAGTGCTGCACCGATTTCCGCCCCAGTTGCTCCAGCTAGTAATGTTCCGTCAAAACAAACATATGCGGTATGAGTCTCTTCCTTCCACTTTTACTGAATTCACAATCTGGGAGGGAACATTTTCACCTATGTCTGATCATGCCATGGGAGGCATATATAGCCTGCTTGGCTTTCTGTGTTGCCGTTGAGTTGTGTGTCCTGACGTCAGAGGACTGGGTGTTTCAGTTAGTATTCCTGCCATTTACTCATTGAATTATACTGGGTTCTTTGCTTCTGGTCACGTGTAGGGAGATGAACAGCAGACTGTTGAAGGCTTGTTACATTCGCTTGGATTGGGGAAATATGCCATCATTTTCAAAGCTGAGGAAGTATGTCAAACATCCTCCTTCATGAATCCTTATAAGATATTGGTGGATTATTCATACGACACATGCATTCTGTTATTACTCATCTTATGCATGAAGACTGTGTAAATCTAATCAGCACAAGCGTCTGTAGGATGCCAACTTGAGTCGCTGCAGTAAACTTTCTTGTCTGGTTTCATGCTTTATCTAGTTTGTTAGTTTGACTGGATTTGCGACTGAGGGCAGATGGCAACTTAATGTTGAACCTGTTTCTGTTATCCAATCCATTCATTTACTCTCTAACAGTAGCAATTGCTGAGTTGGTTGCAATTGACATTTGATGGAGGTTCCCTGAGTAAACCTTATTAGTTCGTGCAAATGCCGCTTGAGCATAAGAACTGTACTCCACTTTTTTTTAGCTTTAATATGTTGCAATGAAGTATGTGGAATCTTAGCCTGCCTGTTGAATGAAAATTGAAAATTGTGCCTCAAACATCAATTTGTTGTATCTGGCAACCAGGTGGACATGCATGCACTGAAGCAGATGGGGGAAAGTGACCTGAAAGAACTTGGGATACCTATGGTATGTTTTCTATCCTTTTGCTGCCAAATTGTATGCAATTTTCACCTCAAGTCTCCCTAGCTGTTTGAACATTTTGTTTCTTGGATCTTAATATCTAATGCTGACAACGATATGAACTTGTATAAGAGGATAATTGAAGGTTTGTTGAATCTCTAGTTGTGCTGTATCTGAAGAATTAGAAGGTATAATGCTTTGATCTAGGGCTGACGTGGAGATTGTAGAGTGATTGTACTTCACTGCTATGGCAGGTGGCGAGTTTGTTCGCACGTTTGTTCTGTGTTATAGATATGCTCCAACATGTGTTCTCTTTTGGCTAGTTTGAATCAACTTTATTCCAGTTTTAGAAATTATTTTTGATTTGGTGGTAAATATTTTCATAACAAATGACTCTTATTATGGCAGGGGCCTAGGAAGAAGATTCTTCTCTCCGTTCTGCCTCGTTCTAAAAGGCAACCTCGATGATGAGATATGCCTGCAATATAACATGATGGAATCAACTTCAGTAGAAGAGTCCAGCGACTCCAGCGACTCCATGCAATCTTCAAATTTTGCACACTGGACTTGGGGGGTTTACTGAAAGTCTGATGGAATTGAGCTGAGAATGAGAGGAAATTATGAGATTCCAATGTGATTCAAATTTTGCCTTTCCAAATTGCCATTCTTTGTGATACTGTGACCTAGATGCAGGATTTGCCAAGTTGTATTTGTATGAAGAGAGTCAAATGTAATGATATTCCTATCCGAGTCAGTGTACTAGTTATTGAGCTTTTTCTTATTCTACCTCCAATCCACTTCTCACGTGCGGCGTGCGCTATGATGTTCCTAGTATGAACTTCTCTGTAGTGTTTACGATGGTTTGTTGGGTGAATTTCTGCTGCAGGGGACCGACTGCTTGTGGTTCTCGCCTTCTCGGCGGGGCAGATGTTGGTTTATGTATGACTGATGAATCTGAGTTTAACTTTGTCTCATGAATTTTTTATAACGGTGGTATAGGTTTCATTTTGTTGTCATTAAGGTACTACTTAAGGCATTCGAACTTGGAACCTCCAGGTTTTAGGCTAATGGTATTACCACTAGGCCAAATGGAATGGGTCATTGATTTTTAACACAAGACCTCTTGGTTATCAAAGACTCTATAGGCTAAGTTTGGCCCTGCTATAGCTTTTGCAGAAGCAGCTTCTGGCTTGAGCTTTTAGAAAAGTACTTTTCAAAAAAAGTTGTTGAGTGTTTGGTTGAAAATTTGTTAAAAGTGTTTTTTAATATGAGAGGTGGTGTAAAATGACTATAAAAAACTTATAATATAAACTATGAATAATAATTCTAAACAATAAAATATAGTCAAAATGGATCTTGTTAGACTTCTTTTATATTAAATAGTATGATTTTATACTTTTATTTTATTTTTAAAAATGATATAAATGAAAGAAAATTATATTTTATGAAATAAAATTAAAATATGGTAAGAATTAGGTGTGGCTATACGGTCCGGTCCGGTTAAATTGGCCCAAATTGATCCGGTCCAGTCCGGTCTTTTTGAAAATATAAGGACCAAAGATTGGATTGGATACAGTACGGTCTTGACCTGGTTCGGTCCCAATTCGGTCTTGATTTTATATTGAGCTTGTGGGGATTTGAGTGGCCTAAGGCCTTAAAGGGTGAGGAGTTGGTTAAGTTTTGTACTAAGTGCAAAGGTTTGTGACCGTTTATGCTACCCTTAAGTTTTGGGTGTTGAGCTCTCTTATCCGGTTTTTATCCAGTTCTTGATCCGGTCCCGAACGAGTTTTTTACCTCAAATCTAAGCCCAAAGATTGGATTGGATTGTTTACAATCCGGTCCTGGTCCGGGTTATACGGTCCAGTTTCGGGTAAAACCAAAAAACCCGGACCAAATAGCCAGCCCTAGTAAGAATAATCTTGTATTTTCGAAATAGCTTTTCGCAGAAGCTCCAAATCGGAGCTTCTGCTTTTATGTTATACAAAAACGCTTTTCGGCTTTTCAAAAGCCGAACTTTTAGAGGTGTTTGGCCCTGCTTCAGCTTTTAAAGCCGAAAAACACTTCTAAAAGCGGGGCCAAACATAGACATAATAATAATAAGAAACAATTGTTCCCAACAACTCTACTTGTAAAGAGAAGTTTACTAATAGATCTTTTACAATGTACTAACATGTTTCTCTCAAATAGAAGTCTACTCATATGAGTTTGAAGTGTGCTAAGACATCAGATATCATATGCTTATAATAAGGGTAATCGGGGTTCGAACAGAAGACCTCTTATTTAAATTAGGTTTTATCACTCTGATACTATAACAATGACAATTTAGTCTCAATAACTCTAGTGGTTATTTGTCAACAAAAAAAACTCTAGTGGTTAGAAGATTTTTAATCATGTATCTTATACCATTTACCAATAGATCTATTTCAATTTCTCATGCACCTTTCCCTATAATTTGAGTTCGTCAAAGACCAACTCCTACACAAATCAAAGAAGGCAAGAAAGAACAAAAGTACACTCACATATTTTGAACCCAAATCACAATAGTGCCTGCCAATCCTAATTGGGGCGTACCTTATGACGTACTGCCTAAACAAATTAATTGCACAACTATGGATCCTACCCACAAGCAACTATTTCTTGCTCTCAATATCTATTGGTCTTTAATAATTTCATTGCTCAGGTGCTTTTAAAAATAAACTCATAGCACTTGGTATCGGTCAAACTTGGCATTCTGAGATCAACAAGCTTTTCTTATGTTATGGTTTCCATGAAGTTATTATATTGTGGATCAGTGGATGGGGACAGTACCTCAAAGGATTAGGGTTGTTAAGATCAAAGTATTCCTTGCCATTTTGGATTCTTTAGAGTAATGTAGATAATAATTTTGGATGGGAATAACAACGGTGCCTTTGGGTTGGCTGATGGTAGGGTCCAAGAACCATACTTGTCATTCTCTCTGCATATATGATATTGGCGTCTTTGGTGCACTCATTTTTTCGGGTCCATTTAGTGCATTCGCTTCATAATCGTCATTTTAAACATGTGATTTATGTCAAAACGATGTCAATCATCACTTATGATGTGATGAACAATAACGCACATGAATTTGCACGAAAATTATTAAAGATTTACTTTAATTTGAAGGATTTAGAGTTTAGAGATTTAGGGTTAGGGTTTACAATTTGGGGTTTAGGAATAGAATTGAAAATTGGAGGTCTAGGGCTTAGGGTAATTCGCTAATTAGTTGTTATCATATGTTATATCATCATATTACACTAATTCTACAAATTAAAATTCAAAATCCGACACCTTAAGACTAGTTTTTGAGTTGGGTACATTGAACGTACTCATTTTTGTGAGTGCACTGAAGTAGCCACTATATATATAGGCGGGTTTCGTTTGGTTTGGTGATAGTTTGGTTGATATTATTACAATAATTATATTGTTCACAATATATCATTTCTTTTATTTCACAAACAATAAAAAAATTGTTTGCTTGATATGACACAAATGATCACTTTAAATGAGTGATGATTAAATCTAATATTTTAAATGAGTTTGTTGAGATTGTTGTCTAAATTTTTGTTTGTATTACTATTTTATATTTCAAATAAAAGATAAAAATGATATTTCACTAAAAAAATAATATATTTACTTAAATACTAGAATAACTATGAGATTTTCGTACCTATTACATATTTTTCAAATATTTAGATTTCATTCGAATCCATGAATCCCGTCCACCAATCCATGAATCCAGTCCACCATAACATAAAAGTATAAATTTAGTTTGTACAATACAAAATGTTGTATCTCTCAACCGTATAAGAAGATTTGACCATTTTATATTTGCTCATTACGTAAAATATTAAATAAATAATAAAAGAGAGACGACTCTAAAATATTGCAAGAGCTAATTTATAAACTCATTTAGTACAATTATGAGATACTAAACAAACTTTTACTAACTACATGTAACAAAATATGCGAAAAGGGTTAATTGTTGCATTGACGGCCAAATAAAGAATTGGTCAAAACCTTTCCATCATCTACTTTATTTTCGTTTCATTTTTCACTCGCCTTCAATAACTCTTTCTTTTTTTTCTTTGCATTCTTCGTCTAACCCTAATTAGTATACTATTTTTATGTATTTTAATCACAAGTATGAACATGTCCATACACGACTCACCAAAAGTCTAGAGAACTAATAATTGAACCACGAACCGCTAACTTTTTTAGCTCAATGTCGAGTCCAATTAAAAATATATATACATGGTTATTACTTATTAGAAATTCATCATTTTTTTACTATGGGATTTGAATGCGTGGAATTTTAAGCGAGTTTGAGATTGTATTCATTTTGCTTCTTTCTAGAGTTTTTCTTTTTCACCCGGCTGGAATTTTCTACAGTTATACATGGAATGTTTGGCTAGATAGGTATCTACACATATCAAATAAATAGTTTACATTTTTTTATAAAAAGGTAAATAATGATAATCTTAAATACATCACCACAAAAGGAATTAAACCTCAACTATGTAAATTACAGTTTTATACCTAAACTTAACAGATCTTTAGATTTATAACCTTAATCATTTTTTTGGCATATAAGTCCTCAAAATATTGATGGAAAATTATATTTTAGTACCTAAATTTTTTGTGTATTACATTTGGTACCTAAACTTTTGAAGTTCTACGAATAGGTCTATTTTTTGTATGTGTAATTAAAACACAATCGAGTAAATGGGTATCCATACCCAACTCATACACATTTATATTATGGAAGTAAATATCCATACCCTACTCAAACCCATCTACAAATTTCCATACCCATATATACGTCACCCATACCCAACCCAGTGGCGGATCCATGGGCCTCTGGACACCCCTAAAATTTGGAAACACGATTATTCAATCCCCGATAGTAGTTTGCATATAGGTCAAAAAATATATTTAAGTGGTGGCGGGACACTCATAAAATTTGGAAAAAAGATTATAATCCCCAAATTGTAGTTTGTGTATGGGTAAATATAAACATTTAAGTGATTGCCTATGTGATTTGAATTTGGGTCGATGCTACTATTAGTAAACATATTTTTCATTAGACTATAACTCATTTCTTCTTGTATTTCAAATCCAAATATAATAGTAAAAAACTATTTTTTATCCCAATTATTTTCAAAAGCTAACGACTAAACCCAATTACGGGCTCCTCTAGTCTAGTAGGATATATCGAGAGAGATTTATAGAGCATTGTTAGACACCGATTGTATTTTACAATTTTTTCAAAGTACAAAACACGTCATGTGCTTTGTTTTCCTTTGGACAAGTCATATATTTTCTTATTTAATTATTATTTAACTTAATTTTTACGAGAGGACACCCCTATATAAAATTTCTGCATCCGCCACTGACCCAACCAATAATCAATGAGTCTACTTGGGTTGACTGTCATATATCTCTTCTCAGTCAATATCATATTGTTAAGTCAATATTACCAACAAAACTACTAACTAAAAATTAATTTTAGACTAATTATACTAACATAACACCATAACGAGCTATATAATATATGCCCATAGACCATCTCCATCCGCGACAAGGCGCGGCATCACCACCTAGTTAGAACTTTAAGTTGAAACCAATTTTGAAACAAAAACAAGAAATATTAATCGACTTTAACTATTAAACCAACCCACCCACTTAGACTAATAGATTAGTTCAATCTAATCTTTCTTCTCCATTATGTTATTGCAGTCCTCATTTTCGTTTCCACGTGCCACGACACTAATAGAGAAATGGCCCATCACGACAATCGTAGCCCTAATTGGAAAACTTTATAATCAACCAACCAACCAACCAATATTCTTACATATCTTACATAGTTCATATATTTCTTAAGGGTTAAAGACACATTTGGTCACTGAGATTACAAAATCGGGACATGTTTGGTCACTAGAAAAATTTAATATCAAATTTGGTCACTACAATTACTAAAACTGGACGCATTTAGTCACTCGCCGTTAGTCTCCGTCCAACTCCGTTAATGAAGTCCGTTAAGTGCTGATGTGGCAAACAGAATTGCCTAATCAGCCGGATATTAACCCAACAAAAATAAAACCCGACCCGCCACGTCATTATAACCCGCCACCTCATTAAAACCAACCCAACCCAACCCAACCCATCACCCAACCCTACCCAACCCTTCTTCCTCCTTCCTCCCCAACCCAATTTAGGGTTTTCCCCATTAATCTGCCGGCCGCCCTTCCTTCATCTTCTTGAGGAATGTGGCGGTGCCGGCTCGGAGCTCGGTGGTGAAGCAGCCATCATCACGCGATGAACCGGCAGTTCCACCGCTGCTTCTCCTCCACCAGCACGATGTTCCTGTGGGCGCTCTTCTTGATCGCCCTGACGGCGTCGTACCTCAACTTCCAGAGCTTCGTCGATTCCGGGAGCAAGTACTTCACCGCCTCGTGGGGCGGGGTCCAGTGGGAGAAGCAGGTGCGCAATTCGGCCCAGATCCACCGCGGCAGCGGGATGTCGGTGCTGGTCACCGCGCGGCCGGGTTCGTCGGGAGCCACGTCTCCCTCGCGCTTAAGAAGCGCGGCGACGGTGTCGTCGGGATCGACAACTTCAACCACTACTACGACCCGTCCCTGAAGAAGGCGCGGAGATCGATGCTGGCGGAGCACGGGATCTTCGTCGTCGCCGGCGACATCAACGACGGGAAGCTCCTCGCGAAGCTGTTCGACGTTGTGGGTTTCACCCACGTGATGCATCTCGCGGCGCAGGCAGGGGTCCGGTACGCGATGGAGAATCCCAATTCGTACATCCACTCCAACATCGCCGGATTGGTCACCCTCCTCGAGATCTGCAAATTGGCGGAAACCCAGCCGGCGGTGGTCTGGGCGTCGTCGAGCTCCGTCTACGGGCTCAACGAGAAATCCCCCTTCTCCGAATCGGACCGGACCGACCAGCCGGCGAGCCTCTACGCGGCGACGAAGAAGGCAGGAGAGGAAATCACCCACACCTACAATCACATCTACGGCCTCTCCATCACCGGATTGAGATTCTTCACGGTGTACGGTCCCTGGGGCCGACCCGACATGGCGTACTTCTCCTTCACCAAGAACATTTTGCAGGGGAAGCCGATTACCGTCTACCGGGGCAAGAATCGGGTCGATTTGGCCCGGGATTTCACCTACATCGACGACGTCGTGAAGGGGTGTTTGGGCTCGCTGGACACCGCCGGGAGGAGTACCGGGTCGGGCGGGAAGAAGACGGGTCCGGCGCCGTACCGGATCTTCAACCTCGGGAACACGTCGCCGGTGACGGTGCCGACGCTGGTGAGCATACTGGAGAGGCATCTGAAGGTGAAGGCGAAGAAGAAGGTGGTGGAGATTAATGGAAAAAACCCTAAATTGGGTTGGGGAGGAAGGAGGAAGAAGGGTTGGGTAGGGTTGGGTGATGGGTTGGGTTGGGTTGGGTTGGTTTTAATGAGGTGGCGGGTTATAATGACGTGGCGGGTCGGGTTTTATTTTTGTTGGGTTAATATCCGGCTGATTAGGCAATTCTGTTTGCCACATCAGCACTTAACGGACTTCATTAACGGAGTTGGACGGAGACTAACGGCGAGTGACTAAATGCGTCCAGTTTTAGTAATTGTAGTGACCAAATTTGATATTAAATTTTTCTAGTGACTAAACATGTCCCGATTTTGTAATCTCAGTGACCAAATGTGTCTTTAACCCTATTTCTTAATGATTAATTGAGCATTAATCTCAATGATGCATGCATAGTGTTATTATATTATCCACCTTGACACAGATCGAAAGTTCGGCTCGAGCTCAACTCTAAGATAATTTATAATATAAATATCATAATATTTATATGCCATATGTGATACATGTAATTATCTAATGTTATGTCATATATGACACGTATTTGCTTACATATACTCAATGTATTAAACACCATAATAGGTGACATATATAATTTAATAATTATATGCATCATTAACAAACCAACTCATAAAATATAGATTGATTTTCTCATAAGTTGTAGTCGAGTTGGCTCTCTAGCTAGTCACAATGTTGGACATATCATAAGCTCAAAACGAGACAGTTCATGAGTTGTATTAAACAAGCCACCTAATCGAGCTAGTTCACGAGCCGAACAAGGTAGAGCTCAAACTCGGCTTGTTTATTAACGAGTTGAGATTTTTTTTAATCGAACGAACTTTTATCGAGTTCGAGACCGAGCCGCTCACAATTAACTCGGCTCATTAACAGCCCTACCTGTCTTTAAAAATGTCCAACCCAGCTGTGCTAACCTCTAGCATACAAGTTGTCCTTCTTGAGCTTCCCAACTCCAAAAAAACATGGTCTCCTTGTCAAAGGTTGCAAATTTGCAATGATGCCTTAGCCATTAGATCGATCTCTTACCCCCTGTTTCCGAAGTAGGAGAGGAAAAGGAGGGGAGGGGAGGGAAAATTTGGAGGGAAAGGAAAATTGGAGGGGAAGGGAATTGAAGAGAAAATGTTGTTTTATGGGGGGAAATGAAAGAGATAGTGGAAGGGGAAAAGTATATAGAGAAGTGTGATAGATATGTTATTTTATTGATTATGTAATATTAAAATAATTTTATAGTATGTTAATAGTTAATATACTTTTACTAATTATGTCATGTAAAGAGATATTAATATTTTCTATTGATATCTTAATTAAGATAATAATTAAACTTTTATAAGAAATGTAATTTTATAAATGGTTTCATTTTTCTTCCCATCTTTTACCCATTAACCCTTGACCCACTACTTTAACCCAATTCGGATCAGCCTACGGGTTGACAACCTTGATCGCTATTCAATCACGTTAATTTACATTTAAACAAAATTGCTAAACCAAACGTTAAATATGGTTATTCTCCCAAAATAGAAAAACAAAACTCAACAATAAAAAGGAAAGGGGAAAAGAGTTGGAAAAGAGTGGGGAAAGAAGAAGAACGAAGGAGAGATAGAGAGGGGAAAGAGTGGGGCGAATAAAAAAAACAGGAAAACATGTAACTTTTCGTTTTTCCTCCGATTTGGAGGGTTGGAAAAAACAGTAAATTTTCCATCCACTTTCCTTTCTCTCACTACTGTTGCTCGCTTTAAAAACAGGGGAAAACTTTTCGAAAATCCAACTTTCCTTCCCTCTTTTCCCTCCCCTCCTCTTTCCCTCCTTCGGGAACATAGGGTAGACTAGACCCATAGGCGGAGCCAAGGATCCTGGACTGTGTACAACTGCACATCTTTCTGGTTTCTTTATTAATTGATTTCACCTTTATCAAAAAAAAAAAAAAAAACTAATTAAGTCTTGAATTCATGATATCTAGGTATAATATAAGAGCGTTATACCACTAAATTACAACACATTTCTTGTTTAAAGGTATATATAAATTTAATTTAACTCAGAATATGAAAATGTATCGTGGTTGTTTAATTATGAAAATAATGATTGTATTGATTGGTTATTTCGTTATTATATATGAACGATATATTTAGGTATTATTTTTTCTAATTATATTTAGAAAAGAGGACACAGATACTTTCAAATCCTGACTACGCTACTCACTAGACCCAAGAGTCCAACATATGTACATGTATGTATTTGATTACTTAAAATCCAAAAGAGTTTGAAAGCATGGATCAAGGAATGGACTTATCTTTTCCAAAAGAAACAATCACAAACGAGAGGATTGGGAATTTGTGAGCATGAGAGATGCAACGTAACACACTTCTTTACCCAACATAATTAATTAATTAATTAATGGTGAGATTTAGTATAGACAAAGGAATAACAACACAATCTAATAAGCTTCCATCATGTCTCTCGACGCAACAATACAATTAATGCAGGGGGCTCATTTAATTTTTAAAAGAAAGATAATGGTGCCGGGGCCCCTTTTACAAATAACAACTGTCCAACACAATTGCTATATAAATATAATCAATATATAGTTTGTATGACTTAGAAATGGTACATTTCTATAAGTTTTTCCTTTATAGTACAATTTGAAATTGTATTTTGGGCTAATACCACTACAACACCCGAACTATCCGGAAAATGCCACTTGTGTCCTATTGTTTTCAATATTCCATCTGTGTCCTGAACTATATGAGTTTGTGACATTTGTGTCATGGCGTCTTACGTTGACCGTTAAAGATAACTGTTGACTTGACGGAAGTCAAACTAGTGTTGACTTTCGCATATGTGGCAAAAAAGTGGCATCCACGTAGATTCCACCTCATTGACATGTCATTACTTTATTAAAAATAAAATTAGTTAAATAAAATTATAATAACTATAATACAAAATTCTTAGAAATTAAAAAAAGGCTCCCCTCCAATCTCCCCGTCTCTGCTTCTTCCTCTTCCCCGCCGTATCAATCTTCCTCTTCTCCCATTCTCTGTTTCTTCCTCTTCCTCTTCCTTCTCCGCTTCTCCTCCCTTCCTTCCTCCCCAGAAATTCGATTTTCTGGGTTCGATTTTCTGGGTTCCAGCCGAAACCCAGAAATCAAGTACGGCTACCAGCGCGATCTTGATTTGGGTCTTCCAAAGGCCACCGCCCGGCCCACGAAAGCCGAAACCCCCGCCCTCACTTTGACTCAAACCCTACACCTGCTTCCCCACCTCCGCCGCTCTTCCGACTCTCCATGGCGACGGACGGCGCCTTCCAAGTGGCGATCATCGCACTCACCGTCGCCGTCTTCGTCGCAATCCAGTACCTCTCCAAGCTATTCCTCTCAAGGCAGCGAGCCAACAACCGCACCGCCCTCCAATCCAACCGCCACTTCATCCAAGGCTCCCAATTCCTCGCCCGATCCAGATCCGCCGCCGCCAAGAACTCCACCCAGTCCCAATCCCTAGCCAAACAGGCCCTGGCCGAGGCCGAATCCGCCGCCGCCCTCTCCCCCAAGGACCCGGCCCCGCTCGTCCTCAAATCCGTCGCCCTCGATCTCCTCGGCCACAAGGCCGCCGCATTGAAGGCAATCGATTCCGCGCTCTCGCCGCCGCGCGGGAAGGCGCTGCAGGGGAAGGAGCGAGGCGATGCGCTGGTGAAGAGAGCGGAGCTCAAGGTCGCCGTGAATCGGCGGCGGCGGGGAAGCGGAGAAGCGCCTTTCTGGGTTCGAATTTTCTGGGTTCGAATTTCTGGGGAGGAAGGAAGGGAGGAGAAGCGGAGAAGCGGAGAAGGGATCGAGAGAATTTCTGGGTTCGAATTTCTGGGGAGGAAGGAAGGGAGGAGAAGCGGAGAAGGGATTGAGAGGTTTTTCTATTTGTTTATTTTTAAAATTTTTTTATTAAATGAAAATTGATAATGAAAATTCCACGTCAGATGCCACGTCACCGCTGACTGGATTTTCTGTTAAATACTAACGGTCAACGCCGGTCAACACTAACGGAATAATAGTTCAGGACACAGATGGAATATTGGAAACAATAGGACACAAGTGGCATTTTTCGGATAGTTCGGGTGTTGTAGTGGTATTAGCCCTTGTATTTTTGAAATTGTACCTTTAACGTTATGGTACAACTTCAGATTGTACCTATACTTTTTGTACAAATTCTTTTATGGTACAACTTAAACTTGTACCTTGTGTGATGGTACAACTTCAAACTGTAAAGTTGTACCATAACATAATGATATAAATTCCTTTATGGTACAACCTAAACTTTACATTTAATATTATAGTACAACTTCAAATTGTACATTAAAGCACCAATGCTATATAGCATAATAGAAGTGCTCAATGGTGTCGGGGGCCCTTTTACAAATAACAACTGTCCAACACAATTGCTATATAAATATAATCAATATATAGTTTATATGACTTGATTCACCACCTCATCGCGGATTTAGGTTGTAATCTCTCAGCTTTGAAATACAATTAATTGACATTACCTATAAAATATGTAATATGTTTAGAAAATAGAGCAAGTGATCGATAAGGTTTTAATCCCTACTTTCCAATTACAATGAATCAATTTTTTTGAATTTAAAGTCTTACTTTCTCATTAAGATTTATGAGTTTATTCATTACTGCAATTTTGACCATATTTCTAATTCCATTAACAATATAATATATGAGTTTTGCTGCTCTAAGAAGATATGCTCAGATCTCATGGAAGACTCTTACTAGTATATATGCTTACATCATTACTCACTTCTCATTATTCCTTCTTTCATCAACTACTTCCCCATTCCCAATTGATTAATGCATTAATCAACCATATAATATGCCATTCCCTCAATACATGGTCAAGATAGACAAACTTTACGGGTCGTTTGCGTCGTGGATTTGAAAAACGAAGGTTTTGATAAAACGAAGGTTTTGATAAACCATGGACTTATAAGGGTTTTGGGTTCATTATGGACTTATGAAAAACCATTGTTTGTTTCATGGATTTTATTATGGATTGTGTTTAATTAGATTTATAGGATATAAAGTGAGATGACCTTATTGCCCTTATTAACAATTATTTGTTTTATGGGTGCCACACAAATTGCAGCCCACAAAGATGTTTTCTCATTCTCCCTTTCCCCACGAGCTGCCTTTGTAGATCGAGAACTATTTCCAGCCGCTATTGGAATCTCGTTTCCGCCGGCAACCTCTGTCTACCGGCGAACTCTCATTTGTTGACAATTTCCGTCGACGGGCTCCAACAGCTACTGCAACATTCAGGTGAGATTTGGAACTCAGCTCTTTATTTGCTTTTTTTTTATGAATCTCTGTATATACTCTTTCTGGTTGATTAGAACCAGCAACTATATCATTTGCTGTTTGTGTTTCTTAATCCAAGAGAGACTATCATGGCCAGCAAGGGAAAGGGGCAGAAAGGGATTGATGAATTCTATTACGAGGATGAAGAGGTATTATGCCACTGTGGGCTGAGAGCTTCTCGAAGAATTTCACATACGGGTCGTTTGCGTCGTGGATTTGAAAAACGAAGGTTTTGATAAAACGAAGGTTTTGATAAACCATGGACTTATAAGGGTTTTGGGTTCATTATGGACTTATGAAAAACCATTGTTTGTTTCATGGATTTTATTATGGATTGTGTTTAATTAGATTTATAGGATATAAAGTGAGATGACCTTATTGCCCTTATTAACAATTATTTGTTTTATGGGTGCCACACAAATTGCAGCCCACAAAGATGTTTTCTCATTCTCCCTTTCCCCACGAGCTGCCTTTGTAGATCGAGAACTATTTCCAGCCGCTATTGGAATCTCGTTTCCGCCGGCAACCTCTGTCTACCGGCGAACTCTCATTTGTTGACAATTTCCGTCGACGGGCTCCAACAGCTACTGCAACATTCAGGTGAGATTTGGAACTCAGCTCTTTATTTGCTTTTTTTTTATGAATCTCTGTATATACTCTTTCTGGTTGATTAGAACCAGCAACTATATCATTTGCTGTTTGTGTTTCTTAATCCAAGAGAGACTATCATGGCCAGCAAGGGAAAGGGGCAGAAAGGGATTGATGAATTCTATTACGAGGATGAAGAGGTATTATGCCACTGTGGGCTGAGAGCTTCTCGAAGAATTTCACATACTGTTGCCAACCCGAATCGAAAATTTTTCGGTTGTCCATTGTTCGGCTCTAAGGTTTGAGTTTTGGTAATTGTGTTCGAAGCTTTGCTTGTTAGGTGAATTAGTTCTGTCTTGTTTGAGATAGTGACTCGTAGCATGTTTGTGGACACAGAAGAAGGAGCCCTGTGATTATTTTGAATGGCATGACATTAAAGCTGCATTATACAAGGAGAGGAAAAGGCTTGGTGAAATGGTTTCGAATTTGCAGCTGGAGAATGCAGATCTTCGTGCTGCATTAGACAGAGTGTCCAAGCATAGTGTTGATGTTGGAATTGAAAGCAAGAATGTGATATCATCCTACGAAGAGATAGTTGTTGCCATTAAGTCGATTAAGCTCAGGTTGGACCAGTTGGAGGCTGGGAGTTCAAAGCTCAAATGATTATATGGGTGTTTCAAATTAGAATCCAGGGCTGCTTAGTGCTGCAATTTTGTGCTATGTTAGAGTGATCCCATGGATTTGTTTATTGGTGTAAGTTTCTATTAATGTGTACCTGTTAGAGTGTTGTTAATGAGAAGCAGAGTTGTGTAATGGAATATTTAAGGAGTAATGAAATGAGGTGCTTTGATACATGCAGCAAAAGTCAAAATAGAAAATGCAAGTACATGAAACATAACATACAACCGCTAAATACATACAATACATCATCTGCCACTTCTATTCTCCCACATGTCTACTGCTTTCGCATCCCTATAATGAGTCCAACTTTGTGAAGGACATACTCCAGAGACTAGATCAATTTCTTCCACAACAGATGAAGGATGCTGCTCAGGTTCTTGGTCCCTATAATCTCTCTCAAAAGTGTCAACTCCCTGCTCCAGCTTGATGAAATTATGCAGCAAGCAACATGCATTCACTAATAGTGTAACAACCTCAGGGGAGAACCAGCTGGTTTCTCTAATAATGGCCCATCTCATTTTCAAAATACCAAAAATCCTCTCGACAACGTTTCTTGCTGTGGCATGCTTCATATTGAAGTACTCCTCAGCTGTTAATGGTCTATTACCTCCTCCCCACTCTTTCAAATGATACCTTTGACCCCGATATGGAGCTAAAAACCCTTCAGAGTTGCTATACCCGGCATCTACCAAGTAGTATTTTCCTATTAAATTGAATGAGAAACATGTAAGAACTAATCAGTGGAAGTAAGGTTTATTTTCAGAATGTCTAGTTCCTTCTAAAAGGCTACATTACCTTTCTCAACGCGTAGTCCATTTGGCCTAGCCAATGCATCTCTAAGAACCTTTCCGTCATGGGCTGAACCCTCCCATCCAGCTAAGCAGTATATAAACTCGAGGTTTGGGTTGCACACTCCCAAAACATTCATTGTAATATGCCCTTCCCGATCTCGATACCTAGGTTTATCTTCTGTCCTAACACGCAGCCTCACATGTGTCCCGTCTAGTGCCCCTAAGCAACCCTTTACCACAGAAAAACTAGCTGTTTTAGGATAGTAATTGCAACTAACCTTGCAAGTTAAAGAAAATTCAAATAATTAACAGACCTTGAAGTGTTTCCACTTAGGATCAGTACAATTTTCTGGTATAGCTGATGGTCGGCGGAGTAAAATAGGATGCAGCCGAAGTACAGCACGTAGGACTCTATGAATAACTTTGGAGATAGTTTGTCCTGAACGACAAAAGTCAACTTGTAGCATTCTGTTCTTCTTGTTGTGCCCGATGGTAACTAAAAACATCAAGACCATCTCCTCTATATCGACATCATCTGAACGTTCTAACCCCCCTTCACGGACGAGTAGATGACACAACCTCTTGAACATACTACGACTCATCCTAATACTATCAATGCAACGAGTATCGGATAGATCAAGTACTCGTCTCATATATCTCATTCTATCATGTTGACGGTCAAATATGCTATCTAAGGGGGTATTCCGAGGTCTGGATTTTAACTTTTTCATCACTAATAGCTCAAGATATCTAATTAGCAAAGACACATAGACAAGTAACAAGGTTAAAACAATCCTAATAGCCTTCACGGTGTTCCGTTTCTGCACTTGATTAGATTTTCTTCTCAATCGAGCCATAGCCTTAACATCAAAAGAAGCATTACAGCATACAATCAGGAAACTTTCCATAGCAATGGAGCCACAACATTTATGTCACAAACCATAAAGAACTCTCAATGGAGCCACAACATTTATGTCACAAACCATAACACACAGTTAGCTTTCGAATTTCAGTTAAAACAAGAAAGTAATTTCACATACAAGAAGCATCTATCAATAAGTTACTGAACTTTATAAACTCAGACAGAAAGGAGATTTCTTTGTATGGTTCAGCTTCAAACAATACAGATGGAGGCCTTATATTCTTATTATCGAAGTAGCTTAGAGAAAAGCTTGACTCTGCAGAATGAAGAAAACCAGTAAAAATAAATGCTCCGGCAATGGTCAACTCAAACTGAAGAAGTAACAAAGGAGGGTTCTTCAGATAGAGCTACTTGCATAGAAAGAGAAGCATGAGGAATGAGCCCCAAATTGTTTATATGCCCCAGAGAAAGAAAGGCTAGGAAAAAAGGAGAAGAATTGGGAATGCTCTGCCTTGGGAATGCTCTGCCTTGGGAGAAGAATTGGGAAAAAAGGAGAAGAAATGGGAAAAAAGCAGTAGGTACTATATAGGCTCAGAGAGAAAAGAAAAGGAAGGGGACTTGCTCCATTTGAAGTTCAGATCAAGAGGAACAAAGAGCTACCCAGTAACCAAAGAGGGAGGGCGGAAGTGGGTTTCCATGGCGGTAAGGGGAATTCAGTTTCCATGGCGGTAAGCGGTGGGGGAAATAGAAATGGCGGACAGCAGCTGTAGGAAGGAGGAATGGTCGGTCTATGGTAAGGTTTTGGGGGTCTACACTCTACACTACTGGCTGTGGAGTTCAAGGTGAGAGATGGAATATTAAAACTTCAATACACTCACAACATCACAAAAGATCGGCCAAGCTTTGATCTAGGGTTCGTGGGGAAGAAAGACACAGATGAGAAGCAACGATAGAAAGCATACCTGGTTGCAGCGACGAAGGAGAAGATCGGAGATTACGACAGAGAAGAAGATCGGAGATAGCGACGGAGGAGAAGTTTCTCTGTTGGAGTCGACTTCCTTCCCTCGCGTTTTTTTCCCTCGCAATTTTCCCTCGCAGCTCGCAAACAGAAGCTTCACTCTTTTATCTGCCAAAATTTCGGAAAGGATAAACAGAAGGGCACTGCTGGCAATAACAAAATATGGCAGGGACAAGGGTGTAATTACACATTATGGACTTCAATCCATGATAAAAACCCACCTCAATAGCTGGAACCTCCAAATCCATGGGGCCCACGGATTTGGACCCCCAAAGTCCGTGGGCCCCACAGATTTCAATTTACTAAATCCCTAATGCAAACAATGGTTTTTAGTGCAAATCCATGATGGATGGTTTTCCATGCCCAAATCCATCACAAAAACCTTCAAGCAAACGACCCGTTAAAGTATTAATCAATTACTCATCTTCTTCCTTTAACTATTGGGTGGTGGGGGATATAAGATATATATGCATTGTCTATGTGTGTGTACATAATCTCAAAGAAGCTTCATCTATATTTGCTGAATCATCACATTTCTACACAATTCAACCTCTTTTTTCTGTTTTCAATTCATTTAATTGGGAGATGGATGGGACTTGACATCCCACAACTATTAATATAATGTAATGATTCAAAGATTTGCAACTCAATTTTTTTAATTAAGTGCATTGGGAGATTGTTACATAAAAAAAGTAAATGAGAAATGAATTAATTAATGATAAACCTACCTTCCAGGTGATTACATTCCCACCATATCTTTTCTTTTTCTATGACTTGTGCTAGTTAGTCTTTTTTTTATATTTTATTTCTGCACAAGTGACAATTTTAATTAATTTGAAGAGATCGGTTGTCTTTTATTCAATATATTTGGTTGCACGCCCATAGAAATGTTCCACTTGATCAACTAATAATATTTTGGAAAGGCTCACCGAATGAATACTACTGAGCATATCTATAATTTGATTATACATAACGAAAATCCCAGCCTTGTCGAATTTACCTATAAACCATGTATATTTCATGTGTTACCGCAACCTTCCTCAATCATAAACCTACCTTCCAGGTAAAACGACATCGTTCAATTCCATTATCTACTATTCTCCTCATACATTATCACAAATTACCGCAACCTTCCAAAGACAAAACTAAATCATTGTCATTGGTCATCCTGCTTAATTAATTACCCCCTTAATCATCAAATTAACCACAATATAATCATTTCTCCTAAAAAACCAGTTCGGTTCAGCCAAATTCACCATACCTAGGCTGAGCAAGTTCCTTGGATAAAAATATAATTTCCCTTAACTTGGTGAAGACGAATTGTCAGCGGTTACTCACCCCCTCCATTACATTTTGAATGAAATCAATTAAATGACATAAAACATCAAGCTAAAATTATCGTTTCACTCACACATTTGGGACTATAAATGACACTTTTTTAAATCTTGGATTACACAAATCCTATTCATCTTTTAACAAATTTCATTCCGTAAGGTAGAGATGAGAATTCGGTCACGATTTTCCACTCAAAACAAAAACAAAACTGTGTAACCCGGTCCAGTTACAATCGAAAACTGGATGCAACCCGATTTTGTCCGGATTACGGATAAAAATTATAGAGAAGAACCTATACCGATCTTGTCCGGATTACGGACTCATTCGCTATGCCAATGAGTCCAGCCTCAGCCCAACCGTGCTGCAAGGGTAGCCTATTTAAATAAATGGCTTAATTGCAAGTTTGGTCACTTGAATTGCTACAAAATTTCATGTTTGGTCACTCGAATTGATTTATTCCATTCGTAGTCACTTAAATTACTTGAACAGTCCAACTTTAGTCACTCTCCGTTAACCTCCGTCAAACTCCGTTAGTACCGTCAGTTAACTGCTGACGTGACTAACAGAAGTGCTTAGTCATCCTATTTTAACAAAAAAAAAAAAAAACATGCCACATCATTAACCCCTCAATATTTTAAAAGTCCACCCAAACCCAATCAACCCCTGACCCGAACCGAACCCCTAAACCAACCCATTCACCTGTTCCCCCTCTCCTTCCCCCCTCTTCTTCCCCAGCTCCGACCAAAATCGCCATTACTGCCACCAAATCATAATCCCAGATCTACGGCGATATCCTGAGATAGAGAGAGCCGGCAAGATTGAGTGGGAGAATAAAATCGGAGGGTTCTCCGCCACGGCCTTGAGCAGCTCCCTCTCTGAAACCCTAAGTTCGGGATTCCCGTTCGAAATCGACGACGACGGTGAGTCGTTCATCTTACCCCGCACGATCTTCTCGAGGGAGGCGTAGTCCGGCGGCGGAGGGTGCGGGAGGCCGGCGGCGTCGCACCAGTTGTGAATCGTCCTCTTGAAGGCGGAATTGGGGATGACGGCGGCGAAATTGGGGAGGGAGGAGTCGTCGAGGATGGGGAGGAAGGCGAGGTCGAGGCAGACCTGGACGGAGAGGCGCTCGAAGGTGTGGCCGGAGGAGACGACGACCGGGTCGGACATGAGGGAGCCGGAGATCGGGCAGAGGCTAACCATCCCATCTAATGGCCTGCTCCGCGTGCTCGAGCAACCACCGCACGGTTTCCCCGTCCGATTTGTGGCCCAGCTCCCGGGTCAGCTGGAAGATCCGAGCGGCGCAGGTTGCGGGTATTCGGATCCTGCGGCCCCGCCCTTCGACCTTGGTGTGCCGGTCCTTAGTCGACGACCGCCGCTTCGCCACCGTGCCGGCTGCTTGCTGCATAGGCACGGGGACGGACAAGGGCATCTGCATCGCGACGGGGACCATCCCCATGGCGGCGGCAGAGGGCGGCGGAGTGGTTTCCCGGTCCGGATCTATGGGCTCCTCTTTCAGAGACAAAACCTGGTAAGCTTCGGATTCGTCGATTGTGGATATCTTGGACACCTCGCCGCCGCCGCTGACGCTGGTGCTGATATCGGAGGAGCCGCCTTCATCATCCCCCTCCATTATCCGCTCTTCTTGTTCGGTCCTTCAAATTATTCCCATTCCAGGACAAAAACCCAATTCGCGGAAATCCTCCGTCGTGAGTTTCTTCAATGGAGATTAGGCGGTAGCCTTGGCCGATTTTTGAAGTGGAAGAGGAAGAAGAGTTGGAAGAGGCGACGGCGCCATGGAAGCAGAGGAGGAGAAGGAGAAGGATTGTTGAAGGGGAGTGAGGAGGAGAGAGCAACTTCATCTTCTTCTGCTACTTCCCTCTCTCAGTAATCACTGAACTACTGTTGTGCTTCAGTGGTTGGCAGTAATGGCGATTCGGGTCGGAGCTAGGGAAGAAGAGGGGGGAAGGAGAGGGGGAACAGGTGAATGGGTTGGTTTAGGGGTTCGGTTCGGGTTTGGGTGGACTTTTAAAATATTGAGGGGTTAATGATGTGGCATGTTTTTTTTTTTTTTTTTGGTTAAAATAGGATGACTAAGCACCTCTGTTAGCCACGTCAGCAGTTAACTGACGGTACTAACGGAGTTTGACGGAGGTTAACGGAGAGTGACTAAAGTTGGACTGTTCAACTAATTTAAGTGACTACGAATGGAATTAATCAATTCGAGTGACCAAACATGAAATTTTGTAGCAATTCGAGTGACCAAACTTGCAATTAAGCCTTAAATAAATACATGCATGCGAGACAACAAAACCATTTTCCGAAGAAACGTGGTAGAAAAAAAAAACAATATAGTTTAATTTACAGGAATAACGAGCAAGAAAGCAATCAATATATAGTATAGTATAATGTTTTGCATGGGTCGGCTTTCCTTTTGATCTGACTTTTCCTTCCCGTTTATTCCCTTGATTAATGGCAGTTCCATATTTTGACCCTTTTGTACGCTTTCTTCCTATTTATGATTACAGAGACAAACCTCAACATTAACAAAGACGTAATATTATTTCCATAAAATATTATTATTTTCAGCACTAGTACTACTCGTCAATCATAGGTACAGGAACTATTCATAAAAATAGAAATAATAAACAAATTAAATCTAGAGTTCTCCCGCTATATATATAATTCATATCCCAACCCTTATCCCATCAAAATCCACAAACAAACAAACAAAATGAATACGCAATACTCCTCCACCGTCGATCACATGAACAGCAACACCTCCGCCGCCGAATCCTCCTCCTCCGGCGACACCAACAAGCTCAAGCTCTTCGGGTTCGAGTTCGAGTTCGGCCCCAACCCACCCCGCGCCGCCCCGACCCACAACCACCACTCCCTTGCCGCCGCCGAGGCTGACGAGAGCGTCGACAGCTCCTCCGACACGGCGGCCGCGGCGAACAGAACGACGCCGTCGAGGGGCAAGCTGCGGTGCGAGTACTGCACGAAGGAGTTCGGGAACTCGCAGGCGCTGGGCGGGCACCAGAACGCGCACAAGAAGGAGCGGATGAAGAAGAAGCGGCTTCAGCTGCAAGCCAGGCGGGCCACCGTCAGCAGCTTCTACCTTCACGCCCCGACGGCGCCGACCCGGTGGTTCTACGACCCGGCGGCGGCGTGTGATGGTGATGATGATGTCATTAATTATTGTCATGGTAACGAGGAGTTCGTGGTGTACGAGGAGTCCGGCCGGCAGATTAGCTTTAATGATGTTGAGAATGGCGGCGGGTTTACTCTGACGCATCATCGTCCCAGCGCCGGTGGGGGTCGGCAGGCGGTGGTGGCCGGCGGTTCGAGGGGGAGAGCTGATTTGGATCTCCAGTTGGGGCTGAGCTTACGATAGGGAATTGTGATAATTAATATAATTCATGTGCGGAAATTGTGATTAATCAAAGACGTTAATTTTTTAGATTAAACGACATATATATACAGATGAGTTAGGTGGAACGCGGGACTACTACTATAGCTTCTTGATTATATGATCGATAATTATTGTTTCATTTTTAGTCTTTTTTTTTTATATTATTATTCAGCCTAGCTAGTTATTATGTGATTGAAGTTCGATGATAAATGATAATTAAAACTAGTTCGGCACCCGACTAGTTAATTAGTCGGTTGTGTTATGTCCATGGCAAGGAAAGAGATTAGGTGCTAACCATGTTTCTAACCGCCGGATGAAAATCTAATCTAACTGTTAAAATTAATAAAATCACTAATGAAACCACTACTATAAACCACTGAATCAATACTTTTTTTTTATCGAGAATCACTACTAGTTTAAGTAAGGGCTAATACAATATACCACTAGGAAATCCGAACTATTATAAAAGTGTCATTTGTATCTCAAACTATTCAATATGACATTTATTTCTCAGCTTATTATACTTATATGTCATTTATATCCTCACGATTTTGTTGACCGTTAAAGATAACGGTTGATTAGACGGATGTTACAGAAATATTGACTTTTGTTGACGTGGGAATAAAGATCTCTGCCATGTAGATGCCACATCATTAAATATTATTTTTCCTTCAAAATTGGATTTCTAGCCTTTGTGGCCTTCTGTTTCTCATTTCCAGTCGAGCTGTGGCTCTTCTTTCATATCTTGGTTCTCTGTTCTTGGGCTTGCTCGTTGTAGGAGTCGGAGTCTGCAATTTGGGAGCCTCTTCCAGATCTGGATGGTGGGGTTGTCCCTTGTTGGTGGCCTCATCATCAAGGTGAAGTCATTCCCTTCTTTCCCCCTCCGACCTCCCCAAGTGTTTGAGTGGCTTGGTGAGCCGTAGAATGGTGGTGGGTTGGGTCTTCTCCGATGGTTGCGGTTGGGAATCAGTGTTTTCCGTGGAGATTTGTGGCTACCTTGGGAGCTTCTGCTCTTCTTCGAACCTGATCTCTTTGCCTCGGCTTCCTCTGCCTCATCAGCTTGGAGCAATCCGGTTCATATCCTCTTCCATCGCCATGCAATCTTGTTTCTAGATTCACTGTGATGGATGCCTTTGAGTTCTCCCCAGGAGGCGGCACATGGGGTGATGATAGTCACTAGCCATGGATTTCGTTATGATCAGACAAGCTGATTGTGGTTTTGGTGCGCTTTGATTGGTTGTTTGCAAGAGAGATTCTTGATGATCTGTTTTCAGTCAAGGGTTTTGCTCTTTTTGGGTGGTTGCTTGCAGACTTTGTTTTGGTTTTTGCTGCTGCATTTGGTCTTACATAGTTTTGTTTGTAACTGAATGCCCTTGGTCTTCCTATTGTTGGAACCAGATTGTTGGTTCGTTCTCCCTTTTTGTAACTTATCAGTTTAAGTGCAATAAAGTCCCCCTTTGTCAAAAAGAAAAAAAACTCTTCTTCAACCTCACGGACTAGCCTGCCACAATCCTCCCTCTTCTTCGAGTAATCGTCAATGAAGCCCTCTTTCCCCTGCCCCCTTCTCCTCGTTATAGCTCCGCGTCGAGCATCGCTGGCCCCCACTGCAAAGGCGTCATTGACGGTGGTGGAGATGAGGTCAAGTTCAAGCCGGTCTCGTGGCTCGCGAAACAGGGGCTCGACGTTGCTCGCGAACAGGAATCACAAACCCAAATCGACAAAGATTCTTGGATCTAGAATCGCAAACCCAAATCTCAACTGAATTAATTGGGCCAATCGGAATTTCTAGAAGGATATCATCGTTTTCCAGTGTGCCGATTAGACTTCTTTCCAGTTTGATTCCACGACAAAGTCGTTTTGTCTTAGGGGCCACCGGGAAAAGATGAAAACGAAGCTTGCTTACCGGTGCCTCCTTCATCTTCTTCCTCCCATTCCATGGCGACCGAGTTCTGCCACTTCCCCGTTCTGCAGCTTCCTAATTTCCTGGCTTCCAAGTTCCCCGACGAGCCGGTTTGACCTGGGTGGGGATAGGGAAAACGAAGTCGGGAGGACATCTCAATGCCCTTCGATTTTCCCCCGGAGATGCAGATCTACAGATCGGAGTCTTTCTTTTTGATTTTTCTTTTAATTTCCTTTTGTTAGTTTATTCAATTTTTATGGAACAATAAATAATAAAAATTCTACGTCAGATGCCACATCAGTGCTAACTAGACTTTCTGTTAAAAACTAGCGTTCAACGCCGGTCAATTCTAACGAAAAAAATAATTCAGGACATAAAAGTCATATCGAATAGTTTGGGACACAAATGACACATTCTTGGTAGTTCGGATTTCCTAGTGGTATTAGCCCTTTAAGTAACAAAGGTTATATATAATTTACTAGAGAGGGATTTTCAATGTTAATTAGTTAATTTCAATGTTAATTAGTTAATTTCAATACCAAATATGCCCTTCACTATTTTATACCGTTAGATTCAACTTAAAACTAATGAACGGTGATCGGAGTAGTTAATATGGTGCTAACTTCTATAAGATTAATTAGGACCCTAGTTGTTCCCCTTAAACAACGATAATAATTGTTCCCATGAAGATTGACCTTTTTGGGTAACCACTCCATGATCTATCTCCAAAATTCTTTTATTGAGTTCTTCAATCCCATATTTTGAGAGATCTACAAAACTTTGATATTTTTTATAGAAGAATTTACAATATCTTTCTAAGTTCACCTTGTAATTACTGTTAATTCTCGTCGAAAATATTCAGCAAACTCAACAGAAATTCATCCAAAGATCATGTACTCGCTATTTGGATGCTTCACATGCAAAATGTCTCTGAGCATTCTATCCACTACTTCAATATTATGTTTATTGGCAACAGGAGCTTCATCACGAATAATAAGAGAGGCATTTTGAATCCACTAACATGTCGATTTTGAATCACAATCTGTTGGGGTATAAAATCGAGAATGAGTTGATTGACCTCCAACCATTAACAAAGCTCCAATACTAAAAAGCAAAGCAAAACAGTATTTTGTTATCGGACTTAGTTTGAAACAAATAATCTTACAAAGAAATATTTTTCCATATACGCACAAACCCATAAAGTATAAGAAGTAGCTTTCATTTTTTTTTATTTATTTACAACTTGAACAACGATAATATTTGTTCGAATGAAGATTGCCTTTTTGTGTAGCTACTCTATCATCTATC